ACCTCCTCCCTGGAGGCCTGCCCTCTCCCCCAGGGCCCCACGGCTGCCAAAATGTGGCCTGGCCTGCCCCTCTAAAAGGAGCTGCCACAAACAGTCTATGTCACTCAGGCTCCAGGATCTGGGCTGGGGGCACCACAGAGGACCCTGGGGAATGGAGTGTCAGAAGCCAGGGGTCTTTCTCCATCAAGACTAGACTTTTCATCTGTGCCACCCGGAGGATGGCACCAGAGGGCCGTAAAGCCGCCGATCTATGGGGGCTGCCAAGGCTTCCAGCCTACCCCGAAGGACCCTCCCTGGGCTCAGCAGCCCCAGCTCCTCAGTGGGAAGCTTTCCACACCCAAACTGCCTCTCTCAGCCGGCTGTAAGGAGTGCTCCCATCTAGCACCCTCCACCCTGGCTTAGGGAAGGATTACAGGATCTGCCTGGGTAGCCGGCCTTAAAGTCTCTGCACCCATTTCCCAATACTCCAGGACTGGTCCCAAAGCTGGACGAAGGGAAGAGGGAGGGGCCTTCCCCAGATCCAAGACCCCATCCCCTGCACACCCTGGGCCCTGCCTGAACCCTACCTGCAGAGTGCAGGCAGCTCCAGCCAGCAGCCCTGTGCCCCTTGCCCGCCTGTTTGCCAGTGAAGCTGCAGCCAGTCCCTCAGGGGCTGGCACAGGCTGTACCAAGTGCAGCTGGAAGCAGGGGAGACCCTGAGATGGCCGTGAGCACAGAGCTAGGGGGAGTTCAAGGGAGCCCAGAAACCAAGGAAAGGAGCATCAGAGTTGGGAGATAAGATGAACTCCAGAACTGAAGAGGGCCTCTACAGTGCCAGGGAGGACCCAGCCAGATGTGAGGCTCCTAAGGGGGAGTAGCAGGGTAGGCTGATTTGGGCAGGGCAGGCGGCAGGGAGGAGCCAAGCCTCCTTAAAATCCACTGCCCTAGGGGACAGTCAGTGGACAGGGCCTGGCTGGCCAAAGAGTAAGAGGGGAGAAAAAGGAAGGGAACAGCCCTCCTCATCACACCCACAGCCCCAGGTCAGCCTCCCCTGGCAGTGGCCTTGTTGCTCACCACTGTCCTCTGGGCCCTGACTATGGGGTCCCTTAGGAGAGACAGGGCCTTTGCTGGGGAAGAAGCTAACTGGCAGCTGAGGAAATGGCCCAGTCTAGGTAGGGACCAGTCACTGAGGTTTCCCCACTGCCCAGCTGCTCAGGGGGCTGGTTCACAGGCCCCTAGACTTGCAATCCCTGATCCAAGCCTATCATCAGGGACAGGACAAACTGTCCAGAATAAGTTTGGGAGAAAGGGAGCTAGAATTTGGAGGACATGGGTCTGATTCTGTTCCTGCTTCCAGGCATGTCTCTACCTACCACTGGAAGGCTTTGGGTCCTCATCTACAAGTGGGGCAGTAAGTGCTCCCTTCCCTGCCTAGCCACAACTGCCATAAGGTTCACAGAGATAATGGCTCTGCAAGTGTTCTGCAAAACACCAGGCTCTGTGTTGAGGCGAGGCCTGCAATTACGAACTCCTGGGACCTTCAAAATACATCCTACTTGTAGCCCTGCCCACTGAGGACAGTGGGAGGTTCTCTGGGCCCAGTGCAGGGTGAAGGCAACAGGCCAGTAAAGGGCAGTGAAGTGAACTTGGCAGGGGTGGAGATGGGGTGACTCTATCTCTTTCTTGGAAAAGGACAAAGTAGAAAGAGGAAGAAAAGAGGGGAACCTGCCTCACCCCCAGAGTGTAAGATCTTTTCTTGCCCAAGAACCCTGATTCTACACACCTCCTCCCTACATATGGCCCCAGACCACTTCTAACTCCATCTAGGGGAGGCCGACCACAGACCTCCATGGCTGCTTCATATTGGGTTAGCAGGAGTTGAGTCAAAGGCCCAAATCTCAACCCCTCTCCTAGCACAGGGGTCTGGGGCTCCACAGCAGTCCTGGGGTGAGCAGGACAGATTCCAACAGCCAACGCCACCCCCCCAGCCTGCCAGGCCACTCTCCAGGGCTGCCACAGGCTCACTGAAGGTGACACACAGGCAGTAACCTCTACATTCTCAGAGGCCAGGCCTAGAAGACTCAGCTGCCTACTGGTCCTTTTTCTGGGGGCCAGCACCACACACATACACCCACACTTACAGAGAAGTCAAGCAAAAGCCAGAGTGGGCCGCTCCAGAGCCACTCCCACCAACTTTGAGATTCTGAGCACCCCATCTCCCCTCTCGACCAGGAGCCCCTAACACACTGCCAGGACTGCCTCAGTAGGCACAAGGGTGTCCACGGCTTTGACCCCACAAGTGTCAGATGCTCTTACCATCTGACCACTGAAGGGTATCCAGTTCTGGGCTAGATCCGTATCAGTTGCCCTACTGCTGAACCAAACAGGGTCAGGGAGGGCCCCACCCAGGGGACACCCTTTCTGGATGGCACAGACCTGGGCACAGAGAACACCCTCAGGGCAGTACAGACCTAGCACCAGGCATCTTCAATGAAACAAGAAAATATAGGAGGTTGATAATAGGGCTATGGCTACAGACAGCTGCAAGGGTGGGGGCAGTCAGCATGATCTGGTCATCAAAGTCAGGGTGGGTCTTTCCTTAGCCACAAGGCCTGGGAGCAGACAGCAGGCAGACAGCCCTCTGCAAGCACAGAGCCAGGCAGCCAAGCCCTCACTGAGAAAGGCACTGCCGCACCTCGCTGCCTGCTCCAAATGATGCAGAGATGCTTACTAGAGTGAGAGACGAACCAAAGGGTACAGGAGCACACGCAGTGCGGGCGGCAGCCCCAGTCTGAAGCCTGCACGGACCTGACCAAGGACGCCCCATACTCCTAAGGAGGCTCATGACATAGACAAGGAACGAGCAAATAGCAAACGATAGATACAGTCAAGCCCCCAGTTGTGGGATGCCAGCCAACAATGGTTGTGCCCAGATGTCAGACCCCCAGTGAGGGGGATCTAGATGTGGGGTCCTAAAAAGTGGAACTAGTCACAGAACAGCCTGAGCCTGCCTGGTAAAGGCACAGGCACCAGTCAGAATGGCCAGTCCACAAAACAGTCCCACACACCCCCACTCCATTCACACATGCTCCACATGCAGTCTTAGCACATGCACACGCTGACACGTGTGCACACACACCTCTTGCTGCACCCACACCATGCCCACTCCTTGTGACAGAGGACAGCATCCCTGGCACAGATATCTCAGATCCACCCCCACCCCCGGCCACCCCTCACCCCACCTTCCTAGCCGGCTGTCCCTGGGACTGAGGTTAAGAGGCACCACCACAGAGAGGATGCCAGAGGAGGTGGCCTCCTCTGAGGGGACCAGCAGCTTGGGCGAGAGGTGGCAAGACGGCGGAGCCCAGCATCTATCCTGAGGCCAGGAAGCACACACTCACCTGGAGCTGCAGTGGAGGCCTGCAGGCTGGCCCGCTTCTTAAAGGGATATTTGGCCTTGGGCTTGCCAGAGCCAGATGGATAGGATGCCATGGCTGGGACCACGGCGGCGACAGCGGGGGAGTCTGAGCGGCACCGGCTGGGGCCTGGCTCTGCCACATCCAACCCCTTCCTCCGCCCCGCCCCCAGCGGGAGTGACTGATGCAGGAAGCAGCGGCTCCGCAGGCGGAAGAGGCCCTGGCCACGATTTCTCATGTTGTCTAGGCAACCTCGGGGAGTGGGGCCTCCATCTCTGCCCCCTATCCCTCCCCTCCCTCCTCAGTCCCAGGAGTGACGTGACTGATGGTGGCTGGGCTTGGCGGGGGTGGGGGGAGGGAGTGGGTAGAAAAGAAGATGGGGAAGGGCCAGCCCCCAGCTCTCCACTAACCCACCAAGAGCCCTCACCCCATTATGCCAGGGCTCCAGGGCAAAGAAGCCAAAGTCCAGGCTAGCTGGTCCTTCCAGCTAGTCTGGAAGAAAAAAGAATAACAAATAGGAATTCAGCAGCGAGCGAGTCCAAGCTCAAACACAGTCCTCCCGGGGCAGGGCTGGCATACTCCGTGAAAACCCAGCACCCACTTTCCTTCCACATCTGACCCTCAGCTCCGGGGGTAGCTCAGCTCTGGGAGGAGGGGGAAGAACCGAGAATCCCAGCCCAGGAGGGAGGGGCCTGTCTTGGGAAAATTCCACCGTCGCCAAATAGCTACCTCCTAGGAAGGCACGAAGGCCAGGAGACCCCCTTGTCTGGGGGTCTGGGACAGAGACCCTAGCCTCTTCGGATTTTTCCTCTGTCTCTGCACACTCTGGCTCTGCTCCCCAGGCCCTCGTAGGAAGAGCTGACCGCCTTCCCTACGTCCTGCTGCTGTGCTGTGACTCCCACCCTCTTGTCACCCTGGCCACAGCACTTTTCTGTCCCAGAGACCCTCCCTCCAACACACGTACACACACTCACCTGAGGCCATGCTGTCCGAGTTCCGAGGGGAGGCTGCCCACGAGGGTCTGCACAGCAGAAAGCCCGGGTCCTGAGAGAGGGCAGGGTGGTCGGGCCCCAGACTCCGGCCAAGTCACTCCAAGGGCCCCTGCCCTGGCACTGAGATGGGGAAAGTAAGGCAGTCTTTCAAAATTGCCAGCTGGCCGGAGGTGGACTCCCGCAGATCTCGGCAGCCAGACTGGCCTCAAGGCGACCCCGGTGTCGCGACCACCCAACCCGGCAATCGCAATCGAGAGACGGGTAGGCCACGTGCTCGCAAGGGAGCGGGACCCGGAACTCGCCCAGGTTTCTCTCAACACTCCCTGGGCATTCAGGGTCGGACTCCCGCAGCTGGACTGTGGGGGAGTCACGCAACAGGTGCGACCCCACGAAAATCTCGCCGGCTCCGCGCCAGGCTCTGCGGCCCTTGGCCCCGCCCCCGCCTGGCCCCGCCTCCGCCTGCCGACCCCGCCTCGCCATTTTTTTCTCTTCCTGGGCGCCACGTGGGCAGCCACCACACCGCGGTAGGGCTGGCCTGAGCTGACCCTTGATCTTGGGCCAGTTTCGTGCGTCAGCTTCCTCATCCGTAAGATGGGGTAATGACAGTACCTCACTCAAAGGGGTTACTGTGAAGATTAAACGTAAAGTCCCTTTACACAGTGCCTGGCACGAAGTCAGGGCCCAATGAAAGGTAGCTGTTGTTATCGTCCCAGGATTCATTTTAAGCAGAAGTCCTGCCCCTGCAATCTCACCTGGTCGTCTGTTTTCTTCCGGCCGGCATAGGTAGGAGGCTGTGCCCTGCAATTCTGGCTCCCCTGCCCACATTTCTGTATTTGGTGGTTAAGAGCTTTAACTCTAGCCAGAATGTCTGCGTTCAAATCCAGATTTCACCTACTTCCTGACTGATACTGGGCAAGTTACCTAACTTCTCTGTGCTTCTGTTTCTTCCATAAAATGAGTGTAAGAGTACCTGCTTTATATGGTGGTTAAGATGAATGAGTTAATATAAGTTAACTGCTTAGAACTGTGCCTGGCCTGTAGTTAGCACTTTTTTATTATTACCATTGCTTTAGCCTTGGCTTTGGTTCTCTATTGACACTCACAGGTTGATTCACTTACAGCCGTTCTGGGATCTGCAGACATCCTATCCAACAAGCATCCCCACTGCCAAGGGGTAGAAAATCCGACCTAAAGGGAACTTGTGGAGGGAAGTCCCTAAGACTTCACTGAATATAATTAAATGCATTAGCAGGAATTAATCTCTTCCCTATTTTCCCTCTTGTGGGAGGCCTTTGCCCCCCAAACCCAGTTGTTCTAATGCTGTTTGTCTGGCTCCTCCCAGTTCTCACCACCCCCACAGCAGAGTTCCTTCCCAAACTCTGCCTGCCTCTTCTCTCCCCACGCTGGATTCTGGACCTTGAACCCTGTGCTCCACCTGCATCTGGTGCCACTTCCATTGATCCCTGTCTACTGTTCCCTGAACAAACTTAAAAAAACTTGGCCTCTTCACCTCACACAGAATCCACAAAACTAAAAAGAGAACAGAGATAACCAGGTTTACCTATCAAAATAGCAAAGACTAAAAAACAAAAAAACAAACACTAATGCAGGTGGCAAGGGTATAGTTAGTGAGATGGGAGACACACACACACGTACATGTGCACACACATTACTGGTGGCCTTGAACACTGATATAATCTCTCTGAAAGCCATCTGGTAATATATAATCAAAAGTTTCAAAAAGGTTCTTATTATTTGACCCAGTAATCAATTTTCTGGAGTTTTTCTAAAAAGAGCTGCCAGAAAAATATGTATGCAAAAAGTTGCTCAGCACCACAATGTGTATTGCATAGGAAAGTTAGACACTTTAAAGGCCCAAAAGTAGGGGAATGTTTATGGAAGATTCATACCATGAAATACAGCCATTAAAAATTGTTCTTGGAGAAATGTTTAATGATGTGGAAATGTTTACAATATAAACTTAGGTAAAAGAATGGATGCAAAACACTATATACAGAATGGCCCTACTTATGTGATATACATGGGTAGAAAAGAAACACACCAACAAGTTTACCAATGATTATCTGTAGTGGTGGAATTATGGGTTATATTTTATTTATTTGCATTTTGAAAATTATAATACATACCCATAACTTTTATAATCAAGGGACTAGAAATCAACAAAAATCGGTACAAATCCATAATTGACTCCACAGTCCCCCCAACCCAGACTTCCCTGGGTCTTAACCCCAGACTTAAACTATTCTGTTTACATTTATGGCCCACTGAATTGGTCTTGGGGCCCTTAGGGATTTTGAGGCTGATGGACTCTCAAGAATGAATAAAATGAATCTCAAAAATCAAGCACCATGTAACTACATAGAATGTCATGTATCTTCTGATAAGATGCAAATGTTGACATAGTTTTAAAGATAGTATCTTGCATTGGGCCAGGCCTCTTGAGCATCCTGCTTAATGCAGACCTACCTACCTCAGCAGCCAATAGGTGGCAATCCTTGCCCTCCACCCAGCCCAGGCAAACCAGTTCATTAGTCCCTTTATGCTAGTCCCCTAGTCCCATCTGCAACACACCCCTCACTCTACAACCCTCCCCTATTTCCAGGTCATCTGGTGTATTGTCGCTGCTAGGAAGTCGGCCCTGATTACAGTTAAGCATCAGTCCCTCCACCCACTCAATACCAGCAAGAATCTCAGTGAGGTTTCATTGTCTATGCAGAATAGAGCTTGGGAAATAAAGGCGTGAGTCATCCTATGGCCTGGGCTTTTTTCACACTGAGGCCTTAACATTGCTTTTGAGCCTCTGGGATCTTCCCTAGCTCCAAACACAGCTTCCTCCCCTCCTAGCCTGTTCCCCACATGGCTCCTTAACTGACCCTCCTGGAATCCCAGCTCCCTAACGATGGTGCACTCCTGTTTCTCTGAAGAACTGCTTTTCTTTGCTTCTGGACTTCAGCTCACTGTGATGTCAGCCTCCCTAGCTAGGCCAGAACAATCTTCACAGATACTAAACTTGGGAGAGAATATCTGCATCTCCAAAAAGGTCCTTGGCCAGGGCAATTTCCCAAACCATACCTTATGCTTAGGCCCTTCTAGAAACAAGCTGTTCAGCTCTGCTTTCTCAGCTTCTCCCAGCAGCCAGCTCCCTCTACCCCCATCTCAGTCACCCAGCATTGTGTTTATAGCACCGTGCAGCTGTTTCCATCTATACTTGTTTATAAGACCCCAGTGGATTTTAGCCAAACCCCTTGACATTGAAGGTGCTTCACTGGCTGGCTCCAATTTCCCTTTCTTGTCCTTATCTTCACCTCCCAGCCCTCCACTCTATGCACCTTTCACTCCAGTCCAGTCACATCAAAGTCCAGGTCTTCTCTGAGCACACCTTGTACCTTGTACCTCTACCTGTTTTTTCATGCTCTTTCCTTTCCCCAAAACACTAATCTCCCATTTCCACTGTTGTTCTGCTTCTCTGTGGAAAGTCTATTCATTTCACAATCACCCTTTTCTTTCTTCTGCCATAGAACTTGTCAGACAGTCAGCTGTGTGTTTAATTGCCTTTCCTACCAGGGGTGAATGCTAGGTCTTAAATAGCTCTGAATTTCCCAGCACTACTGCAGTATCCCTTTCACTAATTTGTTTTTCTGTGAGTTTCCCCCATCTCTGCCTATGGACTGGAAGGTCCTGAAGGTAGTTCCTCATCCTTCATGTCCTCCCACTCCATCTGGGACAAGTCTTGACCCACAGTTCACTTAAGACAAGGCTTACCACGGATGTCAGACAGATCCCTTAACTCAGGAAACATGCCCAAATCACTGAGAAACAGTGATTTACTTTTCATCCAAGATGATATGGTTATAAAGGGCTGTGAATCAAAACAACTGAGCTCTGGCTTGGCTTCTGATACTACCTTGCTTATTAATGTGAGGATCACTTTTCTGTACTTCAGTTCACTCACCTCCAAAATGGAAATAGCACTACATACCTTACTTACTTCATCAGGAAACTGTCCCTAAATGTGATCATAAAGTGGAACAGCTACAACAAAGGCACAGAGTTGACAACAGAGGCAGAGGCAGGAGGTCACAGGCATCAGGATGATGTATGCACAGTAATGGATCTGTGTTCTCAGGCCAGGTGAGGGCTAGCAGTTCCCTCTCTCAGCTTTCCAGTGAGAATGGGGAACTTCCACCCAGTAGGTTAGGGAACAAAGCAGAAGCAGCACAGAAGCTTGCAGAGGTAGCAGTAGAAAAAGGAACGAGCCCACTTTCCCTATGTGTGAAACAAGTTAGTGGTTCCTTTAACAAGGGCTGCTGTTATTGAGTTCATGCATTTGCCCATGCTTTCTCTCTCTGGCTACTTATGTGGGAGTAATAGAAAGAAGGATCACTGGTTTGTCTGTTCACTAGGACATATAACTTCGTTTTTTTGTTTTTGAAACAGAGTCTCACTCTGTCGCCCAGGCTGGAGTGCAGTGGTGCAATCTTGGCTCACTGCAACCTCCGCCTCCCGGGTTCAAGCGATTCTCGTGCCTCTATCTCCCAAGTAGCTGGATGTATGCCACCACGCTGGGCTTTTTTTTTTTTTTTTTTTTTTTTGACAGAATCTTGTTCTGTCATCCAGGCTGGAGTGCAGCGCCTCCTGGGTTCAAGTGATTCTCCTGCCTCAGCCTCCCAAGTAGCTGGGATTACAGGTGCCTGCCACCATGCCCGGCTAATTTTTGTATTTTTTTTTAAAGTAGAGATAGGGTTTCACCATGTTGACCAGGCTGTCTCAAACTCCTGACCTCAGATGATCTGCCCGTTTCGGCCTCTCAAAGTGTTGGGATTACAGGCATGAGCCACCACTCCCGGCCTAATTTTTGTAGTTTTAGTAGATACAGGGTTTCACCGTGTTGGCTAGGAACTCCTGACCTCAGGTGATCCGCCCACCTCAGCCTCCCAAAGTGCTGGGATTACAGGCATGAGCCACTGTGGCCAGCCGACTTTAAATGAGTTACTTAACTCTCAAGTCTCTGTTAATCTAGTCTGTAAATTGGGGACGATAGCAGTTATTGTGAGAATTAACTGTTATGAGCCACTTACATTGTTCAGCAGTTATTATAATAACTATAACATAATAATTATTAATAGTTCCAGGCAGCCCCTTGAACAGTGTAGCCTTCAGCATAGCTCTGGCCTCAGTGTGTTACCAGTATTGTGGGTAGGCTACAGCACGTCTAGCAGTGGGGTATAATTACTGAAACCTTATAATGAAGATTCCAAGATAGTCACAATTTCAAAGAGACTCTCCTGTTTTCCCTTAGGTCAATAAGCACTTGCCAATTTGATGGGAAAACATGGCTACCACGGAAAGCCCCTCAGCAGCTGCCTATTTCTCCATCAGCCCGTACAGTCGCTGAAAGGTGGTGTGAAGGAGGAAGATAATTAGCTATGGCTCAGGGTACCTGATAGGCGGGGAGACCTAGATTCTACTCCTGACCATCCCAGTCCCAACTGGCCACTGCTGCACAAGTCCAGCTCTCAAATGAAAGAGCAAATTACATCCTTCGAGCTCAGTTCTCCACCTTGGCTGTACACTAGAATCAGCTGGGGATGTTTTTAAATTCTTGCGCCTGGACTGCACTCCAGACCAATTTAATCAGTATTTTTAAAAAAGCACTCCAGGTAAATGCTACCATACACTAAAAGTTGAGAACTGTTTCAGGGCAGGGTTTTTCAAACTTCACAGGCGTAATAACTACCTGTATTAGCTTAAAATATTTTCTCTGGCTCTGGAGTTTGATTCTAACATACCCTTTAAAAACATGTACACTATTTTAACATCTCAGAAAGCAGGGTGATCTTCTAGTCAGTGGCACCTAAGACTTGAAGACACACAGAAACCAGCAACCCAGCTGATTCTTAGGATTAGGCAAGTTGAGGGGAAACAGTTCCCAAAGGCAGTGCTTCCCAATCTTTAATGTCTTTAGAGTCACCTGAGATCTTGTTAAAATGCGGATTCCGAATCAGAAGTTCTGGGTTAAAGCCTGAGATTCTGTATGTCTAATGAGCTTCTGGGTGATCTGATGTTGCTGGCTCTTGATCCGCATTTTGGGCAGCAAAATTCTAAAACATCTCCACCTGAGGAGGCTCCGCCAGGAAGACTCATTTAAGTCAACTGAAATAACTGGCATAGAGGAGTACAACCTGTGGAGTCCTCAATGTCTGTGAGGCAGTTACTAGACCGCACCCTCATTTTTCCCCCAGGAAAGGGCAGCTGGGATGAGAGCCAGAGGGAGAGAGAGCTGCCCCGACCTTTGAGAAGCCAGAGTCTGGAGTCCAATTTCCCAAAGAAGCAGAGTTTGTTGTGTGAGGCAGCACAAACCCCACACTGAATACCAGCAAAGTTCACTTATGAAGTGAAGCTGGGACTCAGCTGGCTTTAGTGGGCCGAAAGGAAGCAACCCCATTCTCTTCACCATACACCCTTTTTCTACATTTATTCATTCACCAAACCTTTTGATCCACGAACAAACTACAGGTTCTGAGAGGTTCAAAGATGAGTCAGATTTGGTCCGTTGAGCTCCACGGGGAGAAATGCAGTGAGGGAAAAGATTTGTAAAACGACATACAATATGAAATGATAAGTGCCAATAACAGAAGTACAAAGAGAGGGGCCAGTACAAAGGAGCAATGCTAGTAGCTTCCTGGAGCAGCAGCCACTGTGGGACCTGAAACATTCCTAATCTTCCCAAGGAAGGGCACCACCCAAAACAAATTTCCTTGCCAGGACTAGCCTATGGTAAATGAGTATGCTTTGATACCCTGAGCCCTTGAAACCAAGACCTCATGATCTGGAGACTCAGCATAAGGAATGTTTCCTACCTGTGTGCCCATAATCTCTAGCTCTATGATGCAAATAAATCCAAGGAAGCAAGAGACTTTCAAGGGATGAGCCCCTTAAAGGATGGAAGTGGTTGTGCATCCTATCCTTCTGCCAGAACCCAGCACATCATTTCCCTAGTTACATAAACATTTGAGTCTTTACCCCTTACCATATTGACAAAGCTCTTAATTGGCTTGACCTATCACATTGCTAGATATAAAGGCTACAATCCCCAGACTAAGAAGTAGGTCTCCAGTTAGAGTAGGGAGTCTCAGTCAATGTAGGCAGAGTACAAGACCCTACAGCCTGCTCTCTTACCTGGCCTCGTACAGACCAGCTTTTAGGGGAGCCAAGTTGGGATACTCAATTCCAACTCTTTTCCTTCTCTTCCGTCTCACATACAGGAAACCTTACGAGAAAGGTTTAGGGGCCTGAAAAAGGTGACAAGACGGCAAAGATGGGAAGTGGAGCCAGTGCTGAGGACAAAGAACTGGCCAAGAGGTCCAAGGAGCTAGAAAAGAAGCTGCAGGAAGATGCTGATAAGGAAGCCAAGACTGTCAAGCTGCTACTGCTGGGTGAGTGAGATGGGAAGATGAGCCAGAGAAGGCAGGGGTCCTTCCTGCTTTCCTAAAGGGTCAGTGGGTTCCACCTCACCCCGTGGGAAGGAGAGGTGGCAGGTCATTTTTCCTCTCCTCTACACAGTCTCAGGCTAGGTGATCAGGAGATCTAGAGCTGAGTTAATATGGGGCCTAAAGAGCCACCCCAAGGGGATCCAGAATGCCAAGGCTATTCCGGAGTTTTTCTACTCTTGAGTGAGGAATAGTGCAAGGGCCACCATGAACCCTCCCATTTCCAAATCTAACCAAATCTAACACATCCTTTAGGCTTCAAGGACCCTGGACTTGCACATTGTACCCAATCTGCAGTCAGAGAACCCTAAGCCAAGAAATCAGAAGAGAACAGGACCTTCCCTCACCAACAGGCTCACGAGTCCCAATATACAGTCAGTGCCAACAGTCCCAGAGATAGTCCCACTGGTTTTTGCCAAGTATAGTGGTTTCTTCTTGTTTGCAGTAAAAATTCTGGAAGTAGGGGGCCCTGAGTGAGGAGGAATGGTGTCTATGTATAGCAGTCCCTTCTGGCTCTCTATTCAATAGCCACCTTCAAAGCCCCTGCCAGATGGAAGGTTCATCAACTTGATGAGCTCCTAAGCAGATCACTGGTCTGTGCTGAGAAAATAAAAGCACCTCAATTTGTCAGGGAAATTGATCTTGGCTGTAAATAAAACCAAGACAAGAACATTTGAGTCATGTGGCTTAGGAAAAGAAGTCACTGGTACCACAGAAGTAGGGTAGCTGGAGCAGGTGGGGTCTATATAGCAGAAGATTGGATGCCTGAGCTGGGTTTCCAAGCCCTCATAAGGGATCTGGGAATTGACGCACTAGGCTAAGGTACCTTCTTTTCCCCCAGCTGATCTGTGGCACAGTCGTAAGGACACACTAAAGGAGCATATCTCTGTAAGCTGGACCCAGACTCTAAGGAGCCCAGGAGGTTACGCAGGGGGAAACAGAGATGGTGGGGCCACTGAGAGATCTTTTAAGCCTAAGCAGATTTCTTCTAGATTCAGGATAAGCTGCTTAGAGGGAACAAGCACAAGCGAAATGGGAGGAGGTCGAGGCATTAGGGTAGTATAAACTCAGTATTGAAGGTATAAGTTTTTGATGGGGAGAGCAGAGTGTGAATGAGGACACTAGGACACTTTAGTCAATAAATGAAACCCACTTAGTCCCATCCAAGATCAGGCTGAGCAACATGGTGAAACCCTGTCTCTACAAAAAAAAAAAAGGCCGAGTGCAGTGGTGCACGCCTGTAATCCCAGCACTTTGGGAGGCCAAGACAGGTGGATCACCTGAGGTCAGGAGTTTGAGACCAGCCTGGCCAACATAGTGAAACCCTGTTTCTACTAAAAATACAAAAATTAGTCAAGCGTGGTGGCATGCGCCTGTAGAGTCCCAGCTACGCAGGAGGCTGAGGCAGAAGAATTGCTTAAAACCCGGGAGGCAGAGGTTGCAGTGAGCCAAGATAGCACCACTGCACTCCAGCCTGGGAGACAGAGCAAGACTGTCTCAAAAAGAAAAAAAAAAAAAAAAATGTAGCCGGGCATGATGTCACACGCCTGGAATCCCAACTACTCCGAAGATTGAGGTGGGAGGATCACTTGAGCCCGGGAAGTTGAGGCTGCAGTAAGCCGAGATCATGCCATGACACTCCAGCCTGGGCTACAAACCTGAGACCCTGTCTCCAAAAAAAAGGGAACCGGCAAGGTGATGAAAATATAGTATTTTGGTGAAATGATCCAGCTCTCTCCAATCCTACCCCAAGATCACTCTCCTGAGTCAAAAATAGGCACAGAGGAGAAATGTTAAAGGACTCCCCCTGTATCTGTTAGTGGTTTTCAACAGGGAGATTTTGACTCCCAGTGGTCATTTGGAAATGTCTGGAGACACTTTTGGTTGTCATAACCAGGGAAGTGGGGTGCTATTGGCCTCTAGTGGGTAGAGGCCAGGAATGCTGCTGAACATCCTACCATGCATGAGACAGCCCAAACTAAATAGTACAGAAGTTAAGAAACTGCTCTAAATCCAGGGTGAATGGCCTAAGCTCAAGCATGCCAGAAATTGAGGGCAGCAGTCATCCCTATGTGTTCTCCTCTAACAAGACCCCCAAGCAAGCAGTGGCTCTGACTTCTCCCAAGCCATCTCCTGGAAGGCTGGGGAGAACTGGTGGAAATCGAAAGCATAAGCATTTTTCCTTCCAGGTGCTGGGGAGTCAGGAAAGAGCACCATCGTCAAACAGATGAAGTGAGTAGCAACAAAGCCCCAAAGCACTGGGATAGGGTGAAGAAGTCAGCCAGTGGAGGTATTCAAAGTGAAAGGCTCTTTAGCCTCAAGGAGCCCAGGTATAAAGGATCTGATTCCAATGCCCCTCATCTGTACCTCTTGCCCCCACCCTCCACTTTGAGAAAGCAGTAGCAACAGAGAGAGAGGATTCTTATGACCCTTTAAATACCCCCAAATTCCTAATCCCTTAGGTCTGGTTACTCAGGTCCAACTAAAGACAGAGTGTCTGCCCCTTGCAGGATCATTCACCAGGATGGCTATTCACCAGAAGAATGCCTGGAGTTCAAGGCTATCATCTATGGAAATGTGCTGCAGTCCATCCTGGCTATCATCCGGGCCATGACCACACTGGGCATCGACTATGCTGAATCAAGCTGTGCGGTATGTGGTTACTATTATGTGGTTAAGGGTGGAAGCAGAAAGGCTAGAAGAAACATACAAACTATATGGAAAGATGGGTAAGAAAAATAGTAACTAAAATCCCACCTGCTGAATTTCAAATCTCTCAATGCAGTCCTGGAGAAGTAAGCAACCTCCACCTTTATTTTTACTGGGACAGGGTCTTGCTCTCTCGCCCAAGCTGAAATGCAGTGGTGTGATCATGGCTCACTGCAATCTCACCCTCCCAGGCTTAAGTGATTCTCCCACCTCAGCCCCAGTAGGTGGGACCACAGGTGTGCACCACCACCCCCAGCTATTTTTTTTTTTTTTTTTTGTCAGACTCCTGACCTTAAGCACTCCTCTTGCCTCAGACTCCCAAGGTGTTGGGATTACAGGCGTGAGCCACCGTGCCTGGCCTCAAGCCCTGCTTTATAAGAAATATTTACAAAATAAAGCTGCTCACAGCCTCCTCTGCTTTTTTACTTTATATTACATTTAAATTGCTACCCTTGGGTTCCTGGCCATGGAACTTTTGTAAGTGAAATCCCTACTTCTAGTACTGGCCTTTTTCTAGCTTTAAATCGCTGAACAACAAAGGTGATTAGTCCCTGTCTTCTATCTTGTCTATTTCATGGTCAATCTGGCCTTTACATTCCCAGTCTCTCTGCAGCAGAGGACCCACGTTTTGTGGCAGTAAACTTTCAGACTAAGGATGGAAGCCAGAAACTCCAGAGAGGAAATACCTGGGACCCCTGCCCTGCTTTAGACACATCCCAGGGCTGGGTATAGTGCCACCCTCTGCATCTGGGGAGCATACTCAAAAATTAATCAGTAGTTTTTTTACATAGAATCTTCACTGCAGATTGCTTCCATCTTAGGTCTTTGTAGTAATGTAAAATGCTCCATTCAGCAGTCTTCCCAGAAGCCTCTTGGAAAGCTATTACTCCTGTGAAGTTCTTAACCAGGTTTCTGCATTACAGGACGATGGGCGACAGCTCAACAACCTGGCTGACTCCATTGAGGAGGGAACCATGCCTCCGGAGCTCGTGGAGGTCATTAGGAGGTTGTGGAAGGATGGCGGGGTGCAAGCCTGCTTCGAGAGAGCTGCAGAATACCAGCTCAATGACTCCGCATCCTAGTAAGCTCTTGACTGGGGAGAGGGTGGGTTGATGCTTAAGCAATCTTCTAGCCAGTCTTCTCTCTGGTTGGGAGAAATCTCACCCAACCCAAAATTTCAGGCATTGAAAGCTGGAGACCCAGACTGAATTCAGCCTGTGGATCTGTTTTGTTAGGCTTCAGCAATGTTTTGAATTTCATGCTATGGGGAGATCTGCCACAGTTGTCACTATTTTACATTGCTTTACACTGGCTCACTACAGCCTACAAGGCTGAAGATGCAAAATTCAAAAGAGGTGCTCTGCCTCATAGCCCTCAGCCCTGTTCTCTTGAGGTGTACACTGAGCCTCTCCTTCCAGAACCCTAAGATAGCCCTGCAGTTCTGTCATACACTCTCCCAGGAGTAATGTGATTCATGATGGCTCTTTCAGGGCAGAATTTTCTATCTGGTAATCTAAGATCTACTTAGGCCACTAAGCAGAAATGAGTCTCCTACACCTGGAGCATCTTATGTCAGGATGCCAAGGTAGGGGACACAAACTACGAGGGCAAACCAAAGGAAGGTGGTCAGGAATTAGTACCATCATTGCAAAGCTGCTTCCAAAAAGATAAGGGACATAATTTATCAATCCTACCTCAGACAGTATGGGATCATAGAAAAGTATGGGCTTCGAAGTCAAACCTGAGTTTATTTAACCTAACCATCTGTCTCCTAATCTTGTAATAATGCTATCACTTACTGTTCCTGGAGCACTCAAAGCCCAGTCACTGCTAGGTGTGCTGTGTATATCATCTCAAGGCCCTTTACCCATCTACATAATAAGACTTTAAGGTAGATGGTACCTTTCTAATTAGCCTCATTTTACACATGAAAAACTGAAGTTCAGAGAAGTTAATCAACTGCCCAAGGTCATGTAGATAAATGGCAGAAACTGCATTTGCATTGGGCTGCTTGACTACAAAGCTAAATATTTTTCATAACACACCACAATTTCTCTTGACCCTAGCCAAGTCTTTAACTCTTCTGAATTTCTCCATCTGTAAAATGGGGATATGAAACTTGATGGCTTAGGAGTTTAAACGAGAATCTGCACATTAAAATGCCTGGCATACAGCAGGCACTTGTGTTACTTGTGCTTCCCTCCTCCTCTCAGTCATCTCAGTTCACATCTGCCTTCCTCCTGCCTTTTCTTTTAAAAAACCTTTTCTTTTTTATGGTAACTTTCAAACATATACAAAAGTAGAAATAATATAATGAATTACCCCTCAACAGTTATCAACTCATGGCCAATCTTATTTCATTTTACCTCCATTCCCTACTGGATTATTTTGAAGCAAATTCCAGGTATCATTTCATGCTAAAAATGTCATTATGAATCTCTAAAATATTGACCCTTTTTATAAAAAGAATATAATTACACCCAAATAGTTAACAATTCTTTAATAGCATCAAGTATCACCAAATCGGTGTTCAAATTTCCCCGGTTATCTCAAATGTTTCCTCCCCAGTTTGATTCAGGATATAAACAAAGTCCATGTTTTGCATTGGTTCATGTCTCTAAAGTCTCTTTCAATTTACTGCTTCTTGATGGAACTTTTAGCACCCACTGAAACCACTAAATCTCATTCCAAAATCTACAAAGCTTGCAGTCAGGGGAAACCCAAGGAAAACTTACCTAACTTGATTTAAATGTGCTGGAACCCCAGCCACAAGTGGGCTTGTTCCTCAGTCCATCCCCCATTTCCTCTAGTTAATGACTTATGAAGGTTTAAAGGAAAGAATCCTAAATTTAACAGTGTGGCTTCTAGTCCTGCTTTCTATCACCAAATTAGCTGTGTGACTTTAGGTAAGATACCTTTTACATCTCTTAGCCTTGTCTGTGGAAAATTTGTCACTGATGCTAATCACTTTTCTCTAGCTACCTGAACCAATTAGAACGAATCACAGACCCTGAGTACCTCCCTAGTGAGCAAGATGTGCTCCGATCCAGAGTCAAAACCACGGGCATCATTGAAACCAAGTTTTCTGTCAAAGACTTGAATTTCAGGTAAGTGCATGGTTCCCTGGGGCACCTCGGATACACGTGTGAAATCCTGAAAAGGGGCACAGGCAGGCTTCTTGGCCTTTGGTGAAGCCTAATCTAAATTACTGTTCTGCTTCTCCCCCTTTTCCTCTCCTACTTCATGGGGTGAACATCAAAGGCCTATGGGTCAGATGCTGGGCAAACCTATGAAAATAGCTGCTTCTTCCCTCAGGATGTTTGATGTGGGAGGGCAGAGATCAGAGAGAAAGAAGTGGATCCACTGCTTCGAGGGAGTCACGTGCATCATTTTCTGTGCAGCCCTCAGTGCCTATGATATGGTGCTGGTGGAAGATGACGAAGTGGTGAGTGGCCCTTGCACCAAGCAGCTTTGGTAGAACAAGTTCTCCCCATGAGCCTTTCTCTAAGTCTTGTGTCACTCTACTGCCCAACTTAGGTAATTTCAGTCTAGCAGACCAATCAATGTCTCATGCAAATAATTCTAGAAAAACAACTTCTTCTGCAGGTTCTAGGTTAGCATTTTAGAGCTCCAAATTTACTGAGAGTGAGCTTGGTCTCAAATTAGACATCGAAGTATCACTTGGACATCACAAAGCTCGTAAGAGGAATTCAATGTAAAGAGATAAGGGACCATCAACTAGGCAAAGCAAAGGAGTTACACTTAGTACTCTCCCAAGTTGCCTAAGGAAGGAGATGAAAATGACAGAACAGAGAAAATAGCATATATGAATCTTCATTGCAACATAATAGAGGGGTTGAACTAGTAACCCCACTTAGAAGGCTAAAAATGTACTGTCCATAGGAGTAAGGAGAGACTGGCAGACCAGCTCTCATGCCAATTAAATTGGCAGCTGGAAGACTACCCAAGAGTGGTTCTCTTTAGCCTGTAGAATTCTGTAGGACAGGAGTTCTACAGCACAAGTGTTAGAGCCCAGCCAGTTACCTTCTCTGAATTGAGAAAGGTTAGAGGCATGAAAAACGTTAATTTCACCCAAGCATCTGCTTACAAATGGAGGTCCACAGCTTGCTGATGAAAGGGATACTCCTATCCCTTGCCACAGCTTGTTCTCTTCCCTTCCCCTTGGTAGTTTTAACTTCACATTAGGGCACTCTGAATATCATCTAACCAAAATGGCTTACAGAGCTATTCACTTCCCATCTTTAACCCTAAAGATTAAAGTATATGAGACTTTCCATCTTTAACCCTAAAGTCTATAAACCAAGTCTGTAAGACCTTAAAGGGTTGTACAGGAGTATTATGGGGGGAAAAGCCACAAATGAGATTGTTCTTGTTTTATTAGATAAGTAGACTGAATTCAAGTCAACTGATAGCATACTTCAAAATCCTAAAGACCTGCTCCCTAAAAGCAGGCTGGGCTGGGGCAATGGGCAGCCTCTGCAGATATATAGCACGACTTCTCGCTCTCTAAGTAGCAATCATAGAAGGAAATGAGAGAGCAGAAATGCTTGTGGTATGACACTGGGAAATTCTCCAACCCTCACCATGTGGCAACAGGACCAAAGTAGCCCAAACTGAGATCTGGGACCCCATGAAAGAAGCCTATCAAAATCATCCTGGAGATGCATATGGGCACATGCTAACTTGGGCCTGTTTCAACCCATTATCAGCACTACTTATAAAATGTCAAGTTCTCAGTTGCACCCTGGCTGCTAAAGATCTGCATAACACATATTATAGACCTATATGCCAGCCACTATCATGGATATGTATATACAATACATATACAATCTCATTTAGCTTTCATTATAACCCTATAAGACAGGAAAACAGACTCAGAAAAAGCTCAATAATTTTCCACAAGTCACACAGCTATTAAAAAGACAGGGAACTGGAATGAACCCACATCTCTCTGGCTTTACTCTGGTATATTAAAAAGAGATAAGCTGTTCTCTGTCTTGCTTTTTACATTTGGAGCACTGGTCTCTCCAAGGGGAACAAGAACAGGAAGTAGGTAGCTATTCGTAAGCCAAATCTGATATTTCCAATGGTGTTTCCTCTTACTAGAATCGTATGCATGAGTCTTTGCATCTGTTCAACAGCATATGTAACCACAAGTTCTTTGCGGCTACTTCCATCGTCCTCTTTCTCAACAAGAAGGATCTCTTTGAGGAAAAAATCAAGAAAGTCCATCTCAGCATTTGTTTTCCAGAGTATGATGGTAAGTGTCAGGGGCTGGAAACAATAATAATGCCTTTTAGTAGTGACTGGCAATTGTCTCATTTTTTAGGCTAAGGTGACATAAAGGAACTTAAGGGAAAACCTTGGGCACAGTTACAGGGTTTAAATTCAGATTCTCTGGAATACAGCAGGGATTAGATACAGGAGAGCCACTGACTTCATATGATACCTACTGAAAACCAAAGGTGGAGAGACACCTCTCCTCAATTTCTTTTCAACTAAAGTGAGAAACACTGGAGTGCAATCGAGAACCTTCCCTCCAAAAACAGGCCCCCAACTGCTGTTGTCTACATTTTAAGGATCAAGTCAATCACCTAAAGTGAGTCAGCAACTAACAAGGGTTCATTTATTCTACTTTTTCACTATTTTTCTGGAAAACCAGGTAACAACTCCTATGATGATGCGGGGAATTACATCAAGAGCCAGTTCCTTGACCTCAATATGCGAAAAGATGTCAAAGAAATCTACAGTCACATGACCTGTGCTACAGATACACAGAATGTCAAATTTGTGTTTGATGCAGTTACAGATATTATCATCAAAGAAAACCTCAAGGACTGTGGCCTCTTCTAATCCTCACCATTCCTCAGGTATAAGTTCTATAAACAGGCTTGGAATCTGGGTAATTAAAAACAGAAAATTATAGTCAATATACGATGACATGAAGAATGAATCCATTCTTTGGAGATGAAGTATACATGACTGCAACTGTGTTTCATACATTCTTTTCAAAGTGGGATAGCTAGTGCAGCTTAAAGAGCACAGGCCAGTAGTTAGAAGACCCTCCAGGTTCCAGTACTGGTTTTCCAACTTAATACAAAAATGTGAATACTTTATTTCTGAGTCTTGAGTCTTTCAACTATAAAATGAAGATGACTTCCCTGCCTACTTCACAGGGTTATTCTGAGGAACACGAACATAACTGAAGGGAAGGCACATAAAAACTGCTTGTGCAGGCTGGGCGCAGTGGCTCACGCTTGTAATCCCAGCACGTTGGAAGGCCGAGGTGGGCAGATCACGAGATCAGGAGTTTGAGACCAGTCTGGCCAACACAGTGAAACCCTGTATCTACCAAAAATACAAAAATTAGCTGGGCATGGTGGCGGGCGCCTGTAATCCCAGCTACTCAGGAGGCTGAGGCAAGAGAATTGCTTGAACCCAGGAGGTAGAGGTTGCAGTGAGCCAAGGTCGCGCCACTGCACTCCAACCTGGGCAACAGAGGTAGAATCTGTCTGAAAAAAAAAGAAAAAAGAAAACTGCTTGTGTTTAGGGTCACAGAAATAAATCCTATATAAAAGCTGCCATATATTAAATTCAACACCTGGTTTTTAGAATAAACTACTGCAACAAACTATTCCAAGCAAAATAGCAAGGCTTCCTCTAGTCTATAGAAAACTAGTATTAACCAAACCTAAATAAACCTGCCATTCCCTTTTTACTAACAGACCTCTATGTGCCTTAGCTCAGAGATCTGGATCACTGGATAGAAGATGCGAGTTTGTTAGTTTCTAAGGCACACATCCCAAAACGATCATCTTTATTAAGCAAAGATTATCCCTCTGCCCCTATCAAACAGACCTTTATCTCTACAAATGTTTCTTAGCTACAGAAGATACTTTCTGAATAAACTTAGAGGACATCAAATACTCTTATTTAGAGTATTAATGATTGTGCTACTGCCGCTTCTCTGTCATAGAATTTGGAACAAGTGAACAATTCTAAACTTTCATTTCAACTGCTACATGTTTCAGAAGAACCAAGACAGGTGAGCTTGTTTTAGGCACTGAAAATCTTTGCAGCTGGGTCCATGTGATGGTGGATGTAAACAACATCTCCCCAAACACGCCAACAAGTTTTCCTTTGGACTCCTTTGAGGGGAAATGCAGTTTGCATTTATCTTGACAGAAGGTGATGAAGTTAGGTATATAGATTTAGCATTTACAACTACCAGTGAGGAAAGCTCTTGGCATCCAAAATTTAGTACATAGAAGAAAATGTCAATTAAAATGGAAATTGCTCCTTGCCAGAAACACCCACTCACACTTAGGCTGCTACTAGCAGTATTAATACTAGAGAGCCATATGAGCTTGAAATACACAAGAATAAATTTGTAGCTAAATTAATTCATTTAATAGTTAAATTCATTTAATAGTCTTTCGGATTTCCTAAAAAGAAAGCAGCTTGGGAGAATTATCCGAGAAACTACTCTGGCTACTGCTGATGAAAAAACAAGCCAAAGAACAAACCTGGCCAAGCACAGTAGCTCACACCTGTAACCCTAGCACTTTGGGAAGCCAAGGCAGATGGATCACCTGAGGTCAAGAGACCAGCCTGGCCAACAGGGCAAAACCCCATCTCTACTAAAAATACAAAAATTAGCCAGGCGTTGTGGGGCATGCCTGTAATCCCAGCTATTCAGGAGGCTGAGGCAGGAGAATCACCTGAACCCAGGAGGCAGAGGTTGCAGTAAGCCAAGATCATGCCACTGCACTTCCAGCCTGGGCGACAAAGTGAGATTCCATCTCAAAAAAACAAAACAAAACAAAAAACCTGGGAAAGACTTCTCACATTCAAGAGCTGTTCAGGAACTACTCTGAATATCATGCTGCAACCATTACTAACCTGTTCACTTTACCTCAACATACAGGAGTTCTGAATCTGTTTTGTATCATGGATCCTTCCAGCAGTCTGATGATACCATGTATCTCTTTTCATCATATTTTTAAACACATAAAATTAAATTCAGAGAATTACAAAGAAAACTAGCGTATCAAACAGTCTCTTTGTAGACTCATGGAGCTCTGAAGCCCCAGGTTAAGAACCCTCAATATACAGCCATGCTCTTGTCTATTCAGGCCCCAAACGTAATTTATCCCATTTATTCCATCTCCATATAGGACAGCCCTACTTTCCCTCACATAGTACTAGATTGTTGCTTATTTTATTAACTTTTCCTTGGTCTTTCAATCTAGGTGCAAATTCGTTATCGACCCAATTATAAGTCTAACTCAGGATCCTTGGTTATTAATGTTCACATAGAACCTGCCTTATGGTACTAGTACAGAAGCAGAGCCAGTGGGACAGGTCTTCTGTCAGAAGACAAGTCTCTAGCAGACTAAAACAGGGTTGTATTTAGTCCCCTTCTTTTGGGATAGCTGGTGGATATCCCAACTTTTATCTGGTTTATAAACAAACTCACACAAGCCACCTTGTACAAACTTTATGTAAAGCGTTCATCTTGGAGGACAGAGGATAAGATAGTAGCACTTAAAGCAACATTATATAGCTGTTTTTTACTGAGGTTGGGATCTGCCTATATTCATCTTATGATATTTTCAAGCTAAAACTCTTCTGGCAAGTCTACATGAAATGCAACAGGGGCCCTTGAGCGCCCATTCACCTATTACCTTAGAACAAAGTCAAAATAATTTTCTCAAACTCTTGGTCCAGACTGGGCTCTCCCGTGATTAAAGGTAAGAGGACTTCACTTCGATGCTCTTGATAGGCTTCCAGAAGAGGCATTCACCCTTACCCTAGCTTAACTGTTTGTCAGGCCCAACGATTGTTCCCAAACCTTACATGTTAGAGCTAGAGAAAAAGTGCATTTGTACTTTTCCTTCATAATTAGCTTATTTTTATCTCATGGACATTTTGACTGTATTCATGAAAAGTTCTTATATAAAACAGCTGTAAGATTAAAATAAAAAGTCATATATTCTGCTGTCATTATCTTTCTTCTTTTGCCTCATTTTAAATTTACACTGTACTGATGAATTATTTACTTTAAGCCATCAAGTTTTTTTTGGTAAACAGATCAGAAACAAATATTTAACCCTATTTTCTGGCACTGCAACCTTAATTCTTAAGACTGCTAAAGTTAGAACGAACTTCAAAATATTCCATCCCCAACACTAGCAATTTATAGATTGAAGCCCAGGGAGGAAGAGTATCTTCATCAAGATCACAGTGCTAGGCAGTAGCAGAACTAGAACTCCAAAACAGGTCTTCTGAATCCAAAGCCTGTGGTGACGTCCAGCTACCAACAGCCCACCATACAATATAAAATCAAAGCCAATTTCTCGTTCTTCTAGGCTCCTCCCATTCCCAACCAAATTCTTGGTTATTTTTTCATTATGCCATCTCTAAATCATGGACATTTAACAAAACCATCTCCAAGCTAAGACAAATAGATCTCAAAATAGAATATGAAAATAGCATAAAATCACAAAAACATAACTAAGTTTGCTTGTTTGTTGAAGGTAAAATTTCCTCTTCATATTCTTAGAGGGAGAGACTATAATGTACTTCCCTAGTATAGCACGATTAAAGAGACATTACCAACAATAAATCCAATGTAAATTACGTTACATTTCACATAAATCTGAAAGTTTTCCTTTTTTAGACAAAAATACAATATGATTGACACAAAAGGACAAATACTATGATTCTACTTATATGAGGTATCTAAAATAGTCAAATTCATAGAGACAAAGGAAAATGCTGGTTACCAGGGGCTGAAAGAAGACGGGGCATGGGGAGTTATTGTTTTTTTTTGTTTTTTTGAGACGGAGTCTCGCTCTGTCGCCCAGGCTGGAGTGCAGTGGCCGGATCTCAGCTCACTGCAAGCTCCGCCTCCCGGGTTTACGCCATTCTCCTGCCTCGGCCTCCCGAGTAGCTGGGACTATAGGCGCCCGCCACCTCGCCCGGCTAGTTTTTTGTGTTTTTTTGGTAGAGACGGGGTTTCACCGCGTTAGTCAGGATGGTCTCGATCTCCTGACCTCGTGATCCGCCCGTCTCGGCCTCCCAAAGTGCTGGGATTACAGGCTTGAGCCACCGCGCCCGGCCTGGGAGTTATTGTTTAACAGGTGTAGAGTTTCAGTTCAGGAAGACGAAAAAAGTTCTGGAAGTGGATGATGGTGATGGCTGTGCAACAGTGTGAATGTACTTAATGCCACTGAACTGTATACTTAAGATGGCAAATTTTATGTTATATATGCTTTATCACAATTTTTAAAATAGAAAAAATACACTATAATTAGAAATTTGTATTTCTGTGGATAAAAGGAAGAATGGATAAAAGCGGCATAAAAGTTGTCTTAAAAGCAACATAAAAGACATGTTAACTTGAAACAGCTCCTACTCTGATAATAAAATCCACTCACATGTATACACCCCCAAATAGTCCAAATCAGAGTATTCCTTCCCATCCCCACAGTGAGACATAACAGCATTCAAAACCCACTCTATACTTGGAGATGTGCCGTAGACCAAAGTGTGCCGGCCATGCTGGGTGGAGAAGGTGGTGAAGGGTGAAGAGCTCTTACCTCCCACTGCCCTCTCTACCCGGCACAGCCCCTGGAGCACAGATTCCAGCAGGATTTCGGTGTTGGGCCAGGGACTGCAAGTGTGACAGAGCCTCTGGTGGTCCTGCTAGGTAAAAGCATGAAGACATTTCTGTGAGGTCAGAAGACACTGGAGACTGCAGAAGGGAACTTTTCTTTTTGCCAGGAAAAATCACTAGTATAAGCAGAAGATAGACAGCTGGATTTAAATGTAAAACAAAGCAAAGACCTTTTTCACCCTGCTTCACGAATTTTAGAGCAATTTATAGTTCAACTACATTTCAGGTCTTCAAAATGAATATGGGCAAAGTAACGCTGTAAAAGACCACTAGCTATGTTGAATACCTTTGTTGGTGCTGCCTTAGGATTTTTTATTTTTCCCTGTGGAGTATAATCCTGAGTATCATAACATTTACAAAGCACTTTCAAATATGTTATTTCTATTTGATGAGAGCCACAGAATACCACAGCAGGAAGGAATAATTTAGTCCATCTTTAGATAACAGATGAGCGATGTAAGACTGAAAGAATACACAAGATTCCATAGCTAGTTGGAAGCAGAGAAAAGACCAGAACCCAGCTTTCCAAACAACTCTCCAACCTCTTAAGATTCTGAGAGGTCTTAGGACCTTTATCCTACATGAGCAAGAATAAACAGAACAGGTAATTTCTTGTGTTTTGTTATGTCTACTGGAAATCTCTCTTACATATAAATAAGCCTCTTAGTAAAAATGTCTGGATAACTCAAGGAGAATTTTGGGGGTAGAGAGAGGTAAAAGGTAAGAGGAGACAGATAAACCAGGCTGTTCATAATTTAATATTCCTGCTGTCAACGATTTTACAGCTTAGTGAATGCTAGTACACTGAGATACGTCTATCCCAGTAGTGTATTAATATTTATTAATATTTGATTATCTCTGGTACCTTGTGATTCTCACTGGATTTCAGAAAAACACTAGCACTGGGCATACAAAGGCTTTTACATGTGACTCAATCATTCCCCTTATGTACCCCCTTACCCATTTCAAAATGACTTTCATTCTAGTTTAGAGCTAGTTAGCTTTGCTTTCTCTAGGAAGTGTAAATAAATATTCATGTTATTACATATACCGTTATCTGTCACAAGGTTTTATCTTTAATTTGGTGTATCTTTCAATTTTCACTGCATAAATGCAGTAAAATAAATGAAATAAATGTTTGGACATCCTAGGTTTCTTGTTGTCTTAATTTTGTATAAAACTAAATACTCTGTATCCAAAGTGTAGGAATGTTATGTGACCCAACAGTCTTCAGTAATTTTCTTGGTAGAAGGCACTTTAAGTCATGTACAAATGGTACTTCTTCTCAGGAAAAAATAGGTCATTCACTAGTGATTTTGAGGTTATTTGTGCACTGAAGTTGCTTTTCAATGTTTGTGTTGACTTTAAAAAAAAAAACAACAGAGTCTCACTCCGTCGCCCAGGCTGGAGTGCAGTGGTGCCATCTCCGCTCACTGCAACCTCTGCCTCCCAGGTTCAAGCGTTCTCCTGCCTCAGCCTCCAGAGTAGCTGGGATTACAGGCGTCCACCACCATGCCTGGCTAATTTTTGTATTTTTAGTAAAGATGGGGTTTCACTATGTTGGCCAGGCTAGTCTCAAACTCCTGACCTCAAGTGATCTGCTCACCTCGGCCTCCCAAACTGCTGGGATTACAGACATGAGCCACTGTGCCCAGCCTGCGTTGATCTTTTTTTTTTTTTGTGAGACGGAGTTTCGCTACGTTGCCCAGGCTGGAGTGCAATGGCCGGATCTCAGCTCACTGCAGGCTCCACCTCCCGGGTTTACGCCATTCTCCTGCCTCAGCCTCCCAAGTAGCTGGGACTACAGGCGCGCGCCACCTCGCCCGGCTAGTTTTTTTTTTTTGTATTTTTTAGTAGAGACGGGGTTTCACCGTGTTAGCCAGGATAGTCTCGATCTCCTGACCTCGTGATCCACCCGTCTCGGCCTCCCAAAGTGCTGGGATTACAGGCTTGAGCCACCGCGCCCGGCCACCTGTGTTGATCTTTAATATAGATTGAGCATTTCAAACCTGAAAATCCAAAATCTAAAATGCTCCAAAATCGGAAGCTTTTTGAGTGACAACATAATGCTTAAAGGAAGCACGCACTGGGGCAGTTTGGATTTCAGATTTTTGGATTTGGAATCCTGAACCAGTAAGTATATAATGCAAATATTTCAAAACATGACAAAAATTAAACTCTCAAACACTTCTGGTTCCAAGAGATTTGGATAAGGGCTACTCAACCTGTATTAGGTCCTACTCAGTTGTCCCCAAATGTTGGCCCAGATTGGCTACATCAAAATCACCTGAGGAATGTATTAAAAACATGTATATTCCCATGACCTGGCTCAGACATTTTAATTTACTAGGGTTTAGCCAAAGAATCTGCTAAATCAAATTAACCACGTACCCCAGGTAACTACTGCTGTTTAACATTCGTTATTACCTCTTATTCCTGAGAAGATCTGAGTCAGCCCAGGTCTAGGCCTGATATGGTATCAGAAAAAAAAACTGCCCTGAGTGGGTGGAGTGGTTCACACCACCTGTAATCTCAGCACTTTGGGAGGACGAGGCAGGCAAATCACTTGAGGTCAGGAGTTTGAGACCAGCCTGGCTAACATGGTGAAACCCTGTCTCTCCTAAAAATACAAAAGTCAGTCAGGTGTGGTGGCACACGCCTGTAATCACAGCTACTTGGGAGGCTGAGGCACAAGAATCGCTTGAACCCACGAGGCAAAGGTTGCAGTGAGCAGAGATGGTGCCACTACACTCCAGCCTGGGCAACAGAGCGAGACTGTCTCAAAAAAAAAAAAAAAAGAAAGAAAGAAAAGAAAAAAGAAAAACAAGAGAAAAACCTGCCCTATCCTGGTATGTTCTGAAGTATGTCGTTCTCAGCAGAACTAACTCATAAATGTTGAGAAAACTGAGGGGAAAGGAGGGAGAGAAGGGATCTTAAAAACTAAAACATAAAGGAATAAAGACCTTGATCATCATTAAAAATAGTTCTCTAGTGCCTGAAAAAGCCTTTCTTTTACTCCCTGACAGTTGTCAGCAAAATCATCTTTGAACTTGAGGTCTCTAGGCAGCCTGCCTTTTTCTCTTGTGCTTGTTGGGAGCAATACAACAAAATATGATGACCATAAAGCTATGTAAAGAGCTGAGGGTGATCCAGGTCAGATCTCTGATTTGCACTACGAAGCCTCAAGTAGAACACAATAATTACCTGGCACTGGCAAACTAAGATCATTGTTCTTAAAATCAGTATTACACATGAAAAGGAAAGATCCCACAAGTACTACTGCTCAAGGAAAACAGTGACGTTTTAGGTTTATACAAATGAATAGAGGGCTGCTGATTTTTTTTTTTTTTTTTTTTTCGAACACATAAAAAGGGAAAATAATCAATGGTAGGTTTTTAATAGGAACAAGAGGCTGACTTTACCTTATATATGACTGCAATACAGCAAGGAGTTCTGCAACAGGAAACTCCAGAACTATGCACACATGCTAAGCAAATGAAAAAATTATATTAAGTAACTAATCAGGCCAGGGAAGCAATGTCCAAAGAATGTCACAGCTATAAATGAGAGAATAATGACCAGAATATAAGAATATAGAGCGACTGAATGAATTACAAAAACCAGCTGTTATTTTAAAATAGTCTAATGTGTATATACAACAAATAGAATATATATGAAAATTTAAAAAACAAGACAAGAAATTTTTTTTTGTAAATTTTGGTCCCATCTAGTCTTACACTGTAAAAATGTAGTACCTTGTGAAAAATAACGATCCATCAGTAAAAATTTAAAAAATGATTCACTGTGAACTAGAGATTTAGAATTCAAACTGTCCAAGATGAAAATGTCATCTCAAGATCCACTTATGAATAATTGTTAAAGTTTTTGGAATTTTCATCCTAGGAGGTAAAATCTGTTGCAAAGCTGAATTTATAAGGTTGGGGGACTGTCCATTAAGAATATTTCTTCTTTACACAGAGACTAATGGCTTCTTAAATGGTCCAAAGCATAGGCACCTGAATTCTGAAACATTATCCATCACAAATCTCCAGCATTCTCCAGAGGAAACACACAAGGCAACTTTTAGCTTCTTTGACTACAAATGCCGAAGTTTTTTTTCAGGCTAGTAGATTTAATGTTTCATCTCACATTTTAGCCCTGCTACAAGAAAATATCTTTTGTTTCAATACAAACCAGTGATTTGCAAGCCTGACTGGTAATCAAAATCACCTTTTAAAAATTATAAATTGCCGGCCGGGTGCGCTGGCTCACACCTGTAATCCAGCACTTTGGGAGGTCGAGGCGGGTGGATCACGAGGTCAGGAGATCAAGAGCATCCTGGCTAACACGGTGAAACACCGTCTCTACTAAAACATACAAAAAAATTAGCTGGTCGTGGTGGCAGGCACCTGTAGTCCCAGCAGGAGAATGGAGTGAACCTGGGAGGCGGCACTTGCAGTGAGCCAAGATAGTGCCACTGCACTCCAGCCTGGGCAACAGAGCAAGACTCCATCTCAAAAAAATAATCATAATAATTGATTGCCAGCCCACCAGCCAAAAGTCAATCTCTTAGATGGGTCCAAGTGATTTTTACTTAAGTCATATTAAAGACCACTTACTTAAATTGTCTCCCCGTGTCCTCAAGGAATGTGCATTTAGATAAGTTATTTGGGATGGTGAAATAAGAGTGATCGTCATGTAAACAAACAGAGAGCAAATGTAAACGGTACAAAGGCAGAAAATGGGGACCTGCTATTTTTCTTTAACAGAAGGGCTAAAAATTTAACATATCAGATAGATATTCAAATGAAAATACAAATTCAAAATAAAATGAACTTTTTTGGATTATTGGTTATTTTAGATTATCAATAATACCGTTCCATTATGAGTCCACAATATAGAAAGACTAAAGTTGAAAATAATATTCCACCAGTTCTCGTTTCCAGATGATCCTATATTACAGAATACAATAAGGAAAAGATATATTCAAAATGAATAAGAACTACCAACCCTGTTTACATTGTGGGCATTGAATCAATCACCAATTGAAGCTGATAATTTTCTTTCAGATCAAGTTTTCCCAAATCTAAAGAAAATTTCATTATATAATACAGTTATACCATCTGTAAGCTATCATTTTCCAAAAAGAATCAGAAAAAAAGTTAAAAACAACCAACAAAGGCACTGAACTGCTATGACTTGCTTTTTTGTTGACACCAACCTTTTTCTGTAAACTAGTGAAAGGTCACATCAAAAGATGAAATAGAATCCAATCCAAAAAGATTGGACCCCAAAAGGCACTGCTCAAACTTCTGATTTGAAATGCTCAAAATGGATTCTCTTCATTTGTATTCCCCCAATTGAGCATTCAATATTTAATGACATTTGCTGTACATTATACAAAAGGGTCTGTAGGTTGAAGTGAATATAACTCTCCACACAAGCAAAATGTAAATCTGCAAAATGAATGATGATCACATTCACTCGTATGCAGATATAACATAAAACCTAAGGTTCAACAATACTATTACACCAAAGGACTAGACCTACAGGAAACCCTTCTACCTAAACCCATTCTCAGACAAAGGCTAAAACACATTCTGCAAAGGCAAAAGGAAACAGAAGACAGTATTTCCATTAAAGACTAGTTATAAACAGGAGCAAACCTGGGCTCTTTACTCACCATTTTAATACTGCTGCCAACTATAACAGATTAAAAATGTACACATGACAAAGTGGAAAAAAGTCCCAAAATGCAACAGTTTCAGCAAAAGAACATACTAAGGATTACTACAGTTAACATTGCTACAGTAAAAACGATGGCAAACAGGGATTTGGCACCACATTTACAAAGTAAAAGCATGCACTGTTAATACACTTTAGAGGTCTCTCAACAGAAAAGGCCATGAAGATGGAAAACAAGAGGCACCTTGTACAAAACTCCCTATAACTGAGACAAACAAGCAAGAATCAAAGTGGTCAATTTAGTAAATATGTAGCAGCAAAGTCACTGGTTCTGTTTGGAATTTAGCAATTTGCATTTCTGATTGGCAGCTGTCCCGGGCATGTCTGTATCCAAGAAGCTGACTTTATCATACTACATCACAGCAGTAATTTGGTAATCTGCATAAACAAAGTTAACCTTCAACCATAAGCTTAAAGAAAAGAGAGAACTAGAATCTTATTGCAGAACTTTCCAATGTAATTACCATATGGAAACCATAATGGTACTTTGAGCAGGATAATAACATAAATTTCATCAAAAAAGTTGTATGCATAGCCCCAGTAACTGGAAAGAATTATAAGTAATTATGGAAGTATTATATTCTGCCCACACCAAGAGTTACAAACAAAGAGTTCCTACTAAAGAGGAATATTTTCAAGATGATCTGGTCACATCATGTGCATAGTTAACATTGTGTTTTAATAAAGATTCTTTTGCAAATAAAGAAATAAAATTTAGTAAAGTTATTCTTCTCTTGATGAAAAAACCCTAAAAATGAACCACTGGTGGTTTGTTAAGAAGGGGGAAAAAAAGAGTAAGCTACATATTGAAGTTCTAGAATGCAGCACCTCAACTTCACATCTTCCATAAGCATTTAAGATTAAGAAATCCAAGTGATGTCTTGATGATCAAATCACACTTTACAGTTCTTCCAATTTCAATGTCTGACTTTAGCATCTCATGTCAATTAAAAGTTCCCTAATATAGAAGATTGTGCTAAAGAGTGCTAAGATTCTGCATGCTGCTGCCATTCCCTGGTCCCGTTCATGCTTGTAGCTGCCCCGTAAGACAGCAAAAGGTGTCTGGTCTCAACACTCCACACTGTAGTAACTAGAAGAGAAGAATATTCTTAATTAGAAAAACTTTACAAAGCTAAGAGACATCACTATAGCACTGTAACTACCTTGTATGAAACTTTACCTTTCACTAACATCCATGCTTTTCAATAAAGTCCACATTCCTTTAAGTTGTTTTTAATGATGACATCTGTAACAGCATCAAAAACAAACTGCACATTCTTCGTGTCTGTGGCACAGGTGAAGTGAGTGTAGATCTCCTTGGTATCTTTTCTTCTGTTCAGATCTTCAAACTGGCATTGAATATAGGCAGCTGCCTCTTCATATGTATTGGAACCTAAAACAGACACCCGGTACTCTCAGTTCAAATTGTAACAGCTGCCTGAACTCAACTAAGTCAGACCATTACCATTTACTTATGGAGAGGAAACATAACCCAATTAAATATGAATAGAATTTTCTATTTCTATAATCATTAGATGTTTCTATAATTAGGTTCTTCGTGAGAGTAGACTCTCATGGTAACTAAAATAAAATCATCACACACAAAGATTGAAGAAAACATAACATTGTTTCTCTTTACCCTTTCATTTAGACTTTTCAGCTAAAAAAAATCTAGAAAGTATAAAAGGAAACTAGGAAAGTAGGAAGGTGCATTTCTAGGGAACACAACTGCTTCAAAGGTCTGAGACAGGCTGTGTTCCTTGGAGTGATCTTGGACTAAAAATTCAACAGGGTAGTGCTCACTTTGGTAGCACATGTACTAAAATTGGAACAATACAGAGAAGATTGGCATGGCCACTGCACAAGGATGACACGCAAATTCATGAAGCATTCCATATTTTTGAAAACAACTGGGTCGGATCATGCTAAAGGGAGATAATGTTACTCTGCTACAAAGTGTTTCCAACTAGAAAGGATCAATGAAGTGAGAAATTGTTGAGAAGGATACAGTTTGCTTTTAGATGTCCTTTGTCCAATATGAACATTTACTCATATTGTTTTAATTACCCTTATGTTACTACAAGATGGCAATAAATGCTATGGGATTGTTTGTATTAAAACAAACAAAAAAAGGAATTCAACAGGGTAAATTGTTCTTTTCAAAATCATTCCAGTTTTAAGGAGGTTTAGCTTCAAAGCCTTAAGGTAATAATTTAAGTAAGGAAAAGCAATACACTTTAAAAGAGTGAATTTTAGGGTTTCTGAATTATATATCAATAAAGCTCTTATTTTTTACAAAAAGAAAGGTGGCAGGAACCAAAAGTAAAAGCTGTCTCAACAATATTTGTAATTAATACCCTTAAATCACCTGCTTTTTATACCATCTTGTCTACTTATGGAACCTTTAGAGTAGCCTTAGAAACTGGCTATAAAGTCAGGGAAACGCAACAAAGACAATTCATTATTCCAATAAACTAGAGGCTATTTTCAGTAACATTAAGCATAACAAAAATATCAATAACAAAGATATAAAGAAGGCCAGCTAACAAAATGGAGCTTAAGAAAAAAGGAGCTGGGTGGGGTGGCTCACACCTGGGGCCACAGCAGGTGGATCGCTTGAGGTCAGGAGTTCAAGACCAGCCTGGCCAACACAGTGAAACCCTATCTCTACTAAAAATCAAAAAATCATTAGCTAGGCCTAGTGGTGGGCACCTGTAGTGGAGCTGAGGCACAAGAAGCACTTGAATCTGGGAGGCGAAGGTTTCAGTGAGCCGAGATCATGCCACTGCATTTCTGTCTGGGAGACAGAGCAAGACACTGTCTCAAAAAAAAAAAAAAAAAAAAAAAAGGAAAGGAAAAGAATATTAATTAAAATATTTAAAGAACTGAAGGAAAACAGCTTTGTAGGTGCTTGAAGCAAGTTCTTAAAATCTGGAAAACAACCTCTGTAAATTAGAGGCAGATGAGTGAAAAGTGAATTTTGTCTGCTAGGAACAGATACTAATACCTAGCAAATAAGGACTGTAAGAATTGGTACGTAGAATGAAGACAATGGAGGATAGGCTTGGAAGTTAACAACAACAACGAAAATGGATACGATATTAAAGGCTCTTTGCTTTGTGTGAAGACTCTAAGCTGGGCCTTCAACATTAATGCCAATTCTTTTACTTGTCTTACATCTCTCTCCCCCCGTCCTAAAACTTGGTTGCTTTCTATAAACTCACCTGATTCTCACCTCCCTCTGTTCTTTACTCTGAACAGGTAACCACATTTTCAACTTCCTTAAGAAAACAGAGGCCATGAGGATTAAACTACATCTCAACTTTTTGTCCTACCACCTCACTCAAAATGTTACATATCGGCACTTATTTGTACTTCTGGTCTTAGAGGTGTCTTGCTTCTTCCTCAAAAATCAATTGTTCTACCTATACTCTTTTAAAGAAACTGAGGAAAATTAACATAACAGATGTTTAACCATTTTAAAGTGTACAATTCAGTGGCACTTAGTGTATTCACAATGTTATGCAATCACCACCTCTCTCTAGTGACAAAACTTTTTCAATGCCCTATTCCCATTAAGTAATCACTCCCTATTTTTCCCATTCTCCCAATTCTCATAACCACTAATATGCTTTCTGTCTCTATGGATTTGCCTATTTTGGATATATCATATAATAGAAGTATTGGCCTCTTTTACTTAGCACAGTGTTTTGAGTTTCATACAAGTTGTACCATCTATTATTATTCCTTTTCTTGGGTAAATAATATTCATTGTATGTATATAACACAATTTGTTTATCCATTTATCCTACTTAGACTCTTAATTCCTTTTTTCCCACCTGCTTGCAAATCTTGCTCCTTCAGTTACATCTGTTTTTTCAACATCTCTTTTGCTTATAGGATCTTAGCCCTCAACCTATAAACATTCTTAAATTTCTCCCTTTTACCACGTTGCTCAAGAGTAGTCTACACTTGTCTTCTTTCTTCACTTTCCACTCTGTAACTCACTGTACTCACCTTTCCATTGACACTGCTCTCAAGAGCAGGTCACCGACCTCCTGTTAACTCCAAGGCCATTTTTCAGTATTTATCTTACTTATCTGCAGATAACACTGTTGACTGAAATATTTAATCAACTCACTTTTTAAGCTCTCCTTTTGGTTATGATATCTTTCTTTCTCTCCTGCCAATAGAGGCTGCTATTCTCTCTCATTTTATCTGTGGTCCTTTTTCTCCTCATTCTATATTATTATCTCCATAGGTCATTTCACCCATTTCCATGTTTTCATTACTGATGATCTCAAACTCCAACCTCTCCCCAACCTCAAATATAACTCCCCATGAGATATTATTTCGATGTTCCATAAATAATTAAAAATCAACATTCCTAAATATGAATTCAGGTCACAGCACCAGCATCCAAGACAGAAACCTGGGAGTACCTCTGACTCTTCCCATTTCCTTAACCCTGCTTTACCCCTTCACTTTATTGATTGATTGACTGACGGATGGAGACTCACTCTGTCTCCAGGCTGGAGGGCAGTGGTGCAATCTCAGCTCACTGCAACCCCCGCCCCCTGGGTTCAAGCGATTCTCCCGCCTCAGCCTCCCGAGTAGCTGGGATTACAGGTGCGCGCCACCATGCCCAGCTAATTTTTCTATTTTTAGTAGAGACAGGGTTTCACCACATTGTCCAGGATGGTCTCAATCTCCTGACCTCATGATCCACCCACCACGGCCTCCCAAAGTGCTGGGATTACAGGCATGAGCCACCGCACCCGGCCTCACTTTATTATAGAAAGCATTTACAGTGTCTCCGCTAATAAGAGTTCCTATTCTCTGGAAATACCTGACTCTGATGTCCTAGTTTCATAGTGATCCATCCCTGGCAGGTTACATTTCTGCCCCTGACCTCAACTGATTGGCCTACAGATTTCTGCCTGACTTAACCATAGCCAGAATCTCTCTCCTTGGAATTTGAAACCAAGGCCAGGCAATCCCAGTCTAGTCTTATCTTTTTTTGTTTTTGTTTTTGTTTTTTTCAGGTGGTGTCTTGCTCAGTCGCCCAGGCTGGAGTGCAGTGGCGTGATCTCGGCTCACTGCAAGCTCCGCCTCCCAGGTTCACACCATTCTCCTGCCTCAGTTTCCCAAGTAGCTGGGACTACAGGTGCCCGCCACCATCCCAGCTAATTTTTTTTTTTTTTTGTATTTTTAGTAGAGACGGGGTTTCACTGTGTTAGCCAGGATGGTCTCAATCTCCTGACCTCGTGATCCACTCAGCCTCCCAAAGTGCTGGGATTACAGGTGTGAGCCACCACGCCCGGCCTAGTCTGATCAGAGATACAGAAACTGTGACTAGGCTGTTATCACATAAACTGAATAGCAGAGAAAGCTGGTAAGGAGAGAAAGAATAATAAAAAAGATACACAGAGGAGACAAAAAAGATAGGGATAAAGAGTGCTTCCAGGGTTCCTGACAATTATTTCCTAGTTCTAATTCCATTCTAAGACCTGTCCACTCTTGCCTTTGGGTTCTAAGATCTATCCCTTAATCCCCATCAAGAGTTTTTATTTCTATCCTGAGTTCTTACTAATTCAAATCTACTACTATCTTTATTATTTATTGCATAAACTTTCTAAAGCACAGTTTCTTCTATATCATGTACCCCATGATATGGATCATGGAAGGATATTAAACCTTCAACCGATCATCATTGTCTCAGCATGAGATATAAGGCCCTCCATGAGTTGATCTCTGACCATCTCTCCAACCACTTCTTCCCTGCCACTGTAAACTCTAGTAATACCAAACTCCTTCTGAGTTCCACAACTGGTCACACCATTTTCCTACTTCCATATTTTCATATATGCAATTCCTCTTTTCTAAAATGCTTTTATTCCCGTCTGCCTGATGATTTCTATTGCATCCTCTTAGCCGCTCTAGAAAAAGACTACACTGACCCCATCAGAAGTAACCACTTCTATTCCCTTTCTGTTAATGCACATTTTACACTACAATAAATTTATTTATGTCCCTTGGCAACTACATGTCAGTTTCTTGGGCACAATGATTACAACTTACCCTTGTATTTTCTTCGACATATACCAAGTTTTACTTTATTTTTTGTGAGACAGGGTGTCACTATGTTGCCTAGGCTGATCTCAAACTCTTGGGCTCAAATGATCCTCCTGCCTCAACCTTCCAAGTAGCTAGAATTATAGCCACCATGCTCAGCTCCCAAATTTACTTTTTCTCCTTTTTATTTTCCTCAAAAAATGAAGAGAGAAATTTAAAATAAACACAGAAAATTCAATTGTGTCTGATATGGCACTCTTGACTTAGGGGGTTTTAATCACAGGCTTAATGCCAATGCCACTACCACTGAATACTCTCCATCAATCACTAAAAAAAAAAAAAGGCAGTTTTAAGAATGCCACCAAAGTGTCGATCTAAGTAAGATGTGTACCTCCACAAAGTCTTTCATAACCTCTTACCTGTGTATTCTGGATAACAGATAGTTAACGGACTCCTCTTTATTTTTTCCTCAAACAGGTCTTTCTTGTTAAGAAAGAGAATGATTGAAGTTTCTGTAAACCATTTGTTATTACAAATGCTGTCAAACAGTTTCATGCTTTCATGCATTCGGTTCTGAAAAAGAAATAAAGGATGATAGGTCAGTAGCAAATAGTAAAAGTGGATTAACTTAATGAAAAAGACAAACCAACAAGTTTTGCAGCACTGAATGGCATTAATGGAAATAAGTCAAACACCAATAAGATAAAGTTGAGTGTCAGTCCTCATTTGTGTAATTTTGAGGCGAGAGGAGGTAGGAGGAAGGGCTGGCTAACATCCTTTCCACATAACTCAATGTGCCTATAACATCTTTTTTAGAGTAACAGGACACAGATCAAAAAAATTAAAGATACTAAGTTTTGACTGAATGAGCAAATGGATGCAGACAATTTTCCTAATAAGTTATTTTCTATTTCCTGGTTACATTAGACAGGCTTTTTACCAGAAGCTCCAACATACCATCTCCTCGTCCTCAGCCAGAACAAGGTCATAATCACTGAGGGCCACACAGAAAATAATTGCTGTCACTCCCTCAAAACAGTGAATCCACTTTTTTCGTTCTGATCTTTGGCCACCTACATCAAACATCCTGGCAACGGGAAAGAAAGCACAAATTCAGCAAGGTCATACATACACCTCTCCCTAAACTGAAATAATTAGGAAACTTCCCACTATTACATATTCAAAACTTCATTTATAATAGAAGACAAACAAGGAATAGACTAAATGCAGTCAAAATAATTACCTTGGCTAAAAGTACAAGACAACAATATGAGAAAATAAAATTTGTGAATAATCTAGATTCTAATTTTAGACAGATAGTTGAGCCTCCTCTCTATCAAAGCTTGTACCAGATGTGTGAAAAGTCAGCAGAATAAGCACTGAAATGGATTAAAGGAAGGAGAGGAAAAGATAGGAAAAGCAAAGAGCTAAATAATACAGTTTGAGATAATAATAATAATGGCATATTTATTGAGTGCTTACCATGGTGCCAGACACTACTATTAAACACCTTAACTCATTTTGCCCTTGTAACACTCCTATAAGTACTATTATTATTACCCCAATTATACAGATAAAGAAATTGAGGCACATTCAATGTTAAATGATTTGCTCAAAGGTACACTACTAACAAACAGGGACTGGGGATCTGAACCTAGGCACTCTAACTCCAGCACCCATGTTCTGACTCTCAAAATGGTTTGCCTATAAATGCCCAATGTGCACCCTGCTTCCATAACTTCTTCTTACTAAGTTTGTTTTCCTTACCTTTAAAAAAAAAATTTGGAGATTAATTGTAAAAACAAATAAATTATATTTTTATGGTAGGATTCTATGAACCCAATAACCAAAAAACAGCCTTGACCAATATTTCCAAACTTCAAGCCTTACTTAAACCTAATTAATAAAAACAAAGTCTCAACTGTTCACAAACTTTATGTTCCACTCCAGATCAGTTTTAGTCCAATACTCTCTTCTGGGCGACTTACTTGGTATTCTGAGTCAACTGCTGAACTTCCATCAACAGCATCCTCAACTACCTCCTACAGTAAAAAGAAGATCTGCACTGCTTTGTGTTTTAGCTGATACTTAGGTCTAATGACGTATACATGCAAATTGTTACTCTGTGACCTGTGTTTGAAGAAAATGATAAAATTTTTAAAGGCTAAACTCTGCTGAACTGGTTTAATGTATAAGATCAATAGTGACTAGAGGCCTACATTTCCATTGATGTTTTTGCCCAGAAATTGAAAGAAATAAGACACGGTGATTTCTCAATGTATGCTTAAAAGGAATTATCTCTTTATGACCCAACTCTTCCTTTGGGTTGATCTTGCACAATTCTTTTTGACCTTTGGTCATGACACCTGAAATGATGTAATCACAAGTTGGCTTTAATATAGGGTCATAATACAGGTTTTAGGAAGGCTAACATCATATATTTCACCATGGAAGTCTCAAGGGGAGACACACCAATAACTTCAATTTACTCCCCCATTTTCTCTACAAAGTCTATACAACACTGTGAAGTTCCAAGGTGGGCTTTTAGCACATATTAACATTTACAATATCATTCACTAAGAGATCAACATTTCATAAACATTACCTCATTAACTGAGAGGCAAGTAAGCAATTACACAATGCCTTGCATATGGTAGATGCTCAATAAATGTTTGAATAAATGGATAGTAGTTTTGCCTAGAGAGAAGAGGAAAAGGAAGAAATGATAGTACTTCATAACAAGATAACTACATGCCAACAATCAAGTAGGTGTGGCACCTTAATTAGATCTGGCTATTGATCATGGCATAAAAAGACAGGACAGTTAGGATTTTGCCTAACTAAAGACTGATCTATGTAACAACACCAATAAGAACGTTTCCAACACTAAATAATGATCACAACTTTTAATTATAAGTAGATTACAAACCTTATACAAAGAAATCTCATTCTTATTGTCTTATGAGTGATAATCCATGTGGTCTTTGCTGCTCTTGCTAAATAAATTCATCAGTACTAACGATAAGCAGCAAGTCTATTCTAAAAGCATTTAGAGCTGAACTGCTATTTTCCTGTACCAGGAAAAAATCTAGTTTAGTGTATTAGGATTTCAAGACCCTGACTGGTATCTAGTAATAAGTAAACCCTATGTGGATTTCACAAATCCTGTGTAAGAGTTGGTTTCAGACAAAAAACCTGACACGCTCTGAGGTAGTAGTTACATCTGTATGCAATAATGCCGAACATCACATTCTACATATAAGCATAATAACATAACTAAAGAACACATGGTGTATTGAAGGAGAAAAGTTTACTCCTAATCTCAAAGGTCACAAAAGAAGAAAATGGGAACCAAAAAAACATTTCTAATATTTATAAAAGACCATTAACACAGAGACAAGCTGAGGCTTGTTTTAGAATTACTAATGCTGCCAGGCATGGTGGCTCACACCTGTAATCCCAGCATTTTGGGAAGCCGAGGCGGGCAGATCACGAGGTCAGGAGATGGAGACCATCCTGGCTAACATGGTAAAAGCCCGTCTCTACTAAAAGTACAAAAAAAAAAAAAAAATTAGCCGAGTGTGGTGGCATGCTCCTGTACTTCCAGCTACTCAGGAGGCTAAGGCAAGAGAATCACTTGAACCCGGGAGGCAGAGGTTGCAATGAGCCCAGATCGCACCACTGCACTCCAGCCTGGCGACAGAGCAAGACTCCGTCTCAAAAAAAAAAAAAAAAAAAAAAGAATTACTGATGCTAATGAGAAGGTTATTTGTATTAGAATACTAGAATTTTCTCTCTCTAAAACTATCACAGTTGGACTGGGCATGGTGGCTCACACCTGCAATCCCAGCACTTTGAGAGGCTAAGGCGGGAGAATCACCTGAGCCCAGAAGTTTGAGATCAGCCTGAGCAATAAAGAGAGATCCTGTCTCTACATATTTTTTTTTTTTTTTGGTAAACATTAGCCAGGCACAGTGGCATAAGCCTATAGTCCCAGCAACTTGGAAGGCTGGGGCAGAAGGATCACTTGAGCCCAGGAGGTCAAGGCTGTAGTGAGCCATGATCACACTACTCCACTCCAGCTTGGATGACAGAGTAAGACCCTGTCTCTAAAAAATAAAATTTTAAAAACAAACCAAAAAAAATCACTGTTTAAATGTCATCTTACCAACCCAAAATACCTCTATCCCCATATTTCTGCACTGTATTAAGAACTTAATTGTACATGACACTATGCACAAATTACTTCAAGAGCCATGATAATACTTGCTCCATTCCACTCAACTGGAAGGGAAATTCGAACCAAAAAGAAGTGACACTGGGGAGAAAAGCATTTCTATTTTAATATCAAAATGGCAAAACAAAACCATGTAACTAACCAAAAAAACCGGTTTTCATAAGTTCAATATTGTTACCCTATTAAACATTCAATATCTGTTTTGGTGAGTCTAACAAGCAGCTGAAAAGAATAAAATTAAAACAAACCAGTTATCACAGGAAAAATTTTACTGGGAGGTAAGTTACAATTTATTTTTGAATTTAAATTCCTCTAAATGGACACAAACATTTGATGCTATTTGGAGAAACAAGAGATGTTTGGGCCCCCATTCAGTTAAAATATTCAAACAATGCTGATAAATAGGTTAAGTTTCTAAACCAAGGAATACTGCCCAGAGAAATTTTACCCTGATTAAGAGATGGTAAACTAAAACAAAAGATACCTGTATTTGGCACACCTAGTAAAAAGGCTAATGACTTACTTGAAGTATAGGTCTTTGAAGGTGAAATGCGTTTCTACAATGCCTGTGGTCTTCACTCTCGTCCGAAGAACATCTTGCTGAGTTGGAATGTAGTTAGACTGGGATATTCTATCCAGATCATTTAGATAACTAAATAAAAGACACACTTACTTTTACTTGGTGAAGCCAACCATGTGTATAGCAAATCAACAGACTAAATTAGTTCCTATTCTAAACCTGTTACTAGTTACTAAAGTGGCAAAACAGAATCAGATCTTCACTATCATAGAAAAGATAAGAAGCCAGGCATGGTGGCTCATGCCTGTAATCCCAACACTTTGGGAGGCCAAGGCAGGAAGATCGCTTGAGGCCAGGAGTTCAAGACCAGCCTGGGCAACATAAAGAGACCCCTGTCTTTACAAAATATTTTAAAAATTAACTAAGCATGGTGGTGCACGCCTGTAGTCCTAGCTAATCCTCCTACCCTTGAGTGAAGCAGGAGGATCACTTGAACCCAAGAGGTCAAGGCTGCAGGGTGCCACTGTACTCCAGCCTGACTGACAGAGTGAGACCCCCGTCTCTTAAAAAAAAGAAATAAATAATAAGAAAAAATATGAATCCAACATAGGACAATTAAAGTATAGAGTCTATATACATTAACAAAAGTAGGTTTTTGTTTTGTTTTGTTTTCTTTTTGTTGTTTTTTTTTTGAGACAGAGTCTCACTCTGTCACCCGGGCTGCAATGCAGTGGTGTGATCTTGGCTCACTGTAACCTCCGTCTTGCAGGTTCAAGTGATTCTCCTGCTTCAGCCTCCTGAACAGCTGGGATTACAGATGCTCACCACTACACCCAGCTAATTTTTTTGTATTTTTAGTAGAGATGGGGTTTCACCATGTTGGCCAGGCTGGTCTCAAACTCCTGACCTCAGGTGATTCGCCTGCCTTGGTCTCCTAAAGTGCTGGGATTACAGGTGTGAGCCACCGTGCCCAGACACAAAAGTAGGTTTAATTCTACAGAATTAAACTGTGAAGGCCAATTTAAAAAATTAAAACAATAGGAATAGGAAATGTTTTCAGTAAAGAAAAATTCCTGAAATGTAATACTAAATTAACCGTGCACTGTATAATACCAAAACCAAACTATACCAAAAGTCCTCAGACAATTAAACTTAATAGGTCATGTGTGTTTAACCATTTGACAGGACATTAGAGAATGGTGTTTGATTTACTAAAATTAAGAGAACTATAGTGAGTAAGAATATTTTCCATTTTCTTTCAGTAAACAGAAGAGTTGGGGAGGTTTGGGGTTTTTTTTAATCTAAACCAAAAACAAATTGTAAATACGTCCAAAAAAAATTAATTTGTTCAGGGAAATAATTAAAAGACTGCTTCAAACCTATATTCTTTGCTGATTCCAGGCTAGAAAACTGATGAGCAGATGGCACCAATATAAGTGAATCATTAATGATCTATAAAACCAAACACTATCACTAACGTAAAGACGCAAACTTAGATCAACTGTTATGAAAATCTCTACAATATAAGCACATGTAGTTAGAGGATTCAGAGCTTTCTGAATGAATGATGAAAAAAAGCAATTATAATTTACTTTTGATGACCACTGGTAGAATTATTTAAGCTCTCAATACCTGCAACTAAAACATGTTATTAAAAGGTAGGCAAGAATCCTGAAACGTTTCTAAACCCAAGTTCTCACTGAAAGAATAAGAAAGTTTTCAAATACAGTCATGTGCTGCATAACAATGTTTTGGTCAACAACAGACTCCATAAATGCATGCTAGTGATCCTGTAAGATTATAATGGAGCTGAAACACTCCTAGTCCCTAGTGACATCATGGGCCATATTACCCTTTTATATGTTTAGAGATGTTGAGATATACAAATAATTACCATTATGTTACAATTGCCTACAGTATTTAGTACAATAACATGCTGTACAGGTTCATAGTCTAGGGGCAATAGGCTATACCACAGAGCTTAGGTGTGCAGTAGGCTGTACCATCTAATTCTGTGTATGCATAGTCTATGATGTTCACACAATGACAAATCACCTAATGATGCATGTTTCAGAATGTATCCCTGTCCTTATGCACAGCCTGACTATATCATTTAATTTCTTCTTGTAACAATTTAAGCTAGAATGATGATGTGAAAAGTAGGAAAACAGTAATATTGGAGAAAAAACCTTAATGCTTAAAAGTACAAAGAGAAATACAGATAACAAGTGCTCACCAGGCCCCGCAAAAGTACATTTAAAAAAAACATTCTGGGCTGGGCACGGTGGCTCACTCCTATAATCCAAGCACTTTGGGAGGCCGAGGTGGGTGGATCACGAGGTCAGGAGATCGAGACCATCCTGGCTAACACAGTGAAACCCCGTCTCTACTACAAATATAAAAAATTAGCCAGGTCGTAGCGGGCGCCTGTAGTCCCAGCTACTCGGGAGGCTGAGGCAGGAGAATGGTGTGAACGTGGGAGGTAGAGCATGCAGTGAGCGGAGATCACGCCACTGCACTCCAGCTTGGGCGACAAAGCGAGACTCCGTCTCAAAAAAAAAATTCTGAATCTAGGTTTTATAAATAAGTATATGTAAAAGAGATAAAATAGGATAACATGTAATAGCTTCATATAAGTATTCATTACAAATTCTCTAAAACTATGTTAACACTCAAGATAATATCCTTGACAAAAAGATACTTCAACTTCATTCCATGACTCAACCTTCTCTTTCTATACAAAGTCTACTATTGTGATCTGGCAAAATATTTATTAGTGAAATCCATGGTGCAGCCCAGACACAGAGAGTTGGCTGCATAAAAAGGAATACCACAATTCTAATTTCCCTCTCTAGCTGGCTATCAGTGCCAAGCCCTTACACAGAAGAACTTACGAGTTGGAACAGGTTCAGAACCCAGCCACAATAGATGTCTCTCCCCCTTCACTTGCTTATAATAAAATGCCATGGAACTAATTTAGTGGTGCCAAGTCTCCCATTTACATTCCAAGAGGGAACTTCTTTCTCCAAATCATACAAATGACCAAGGGCTCTATAATCCTAAACTTAGACAATTTTTATAAAGCATCCTATAAACTTCTAAGAGTGTCTATTACTTAAACATTTCCTTAAGGATGGACACTAAACTTTCTCTAGTGTCACCAAGTTATTCTCTGTTATAGTTTCACGGAGAAAAATTACTTACTATGAAGCAGAATCATTGAGCTGATATTCCCTGGATCTGCTGAAGCAAGCTTGTACCCCACCATCTCGCCATAACCGTTTAATCACTCCTGCTAGTTCTGAAGTCATGACTCCTTCTTCAGCACTGCCAGCTAAAACAAATAATTGTCGGGCATCATCCTGAAGAAAGCAGTTAAGAAAGAGACAGATGACTCTCCATTTCCTTCAGACTTGATGACAATCTCTTTAAAATATACACACATTACATGTTATGTTAAAACAGGTGTTGTTACAGAGACCTTTTCTGACAGGCCAGCATGACAGAATTTATAATTAAGTCTTTGCTCATTCTCATTCCACTACCGTTTTAAGTCCAGAACTGAGCTGAGAAATGATTTTACTTCCCCACCACTCCTCCACACATCACCATCCCCAGAAAAGATCATTTCTGGCCAGCCCACAAATCTCCATCCAGATTGCTAATAATTTTTGAGAGAAAAAAACTGGTTTATGAGACAGGCTTATGTAAAACATTCCCGTTCTATTAAAGGAAGCCTACAATAAAAATAGAAATAAAAAGACTAGCACGTAAGAGGTAAAGTCTAAACACCTCAAAGGGAGTAAAACATTAATCAAGTTTAAGAAAAAGTATTATCTTCTTTGCCTTCAGCCCAGACAGCAGAACAAGAAGAGGAGATGGAGGCACTTATGGAGTCTAGAAGTCTAATGGGGGAAATAAATCCCTCAGGGAAAGATTCAAACAGTCCCTAGATTTCTCTAAAGGAATAATAATAATGTTCTGAGAGAGGGAAAGGAAGGCAGCAGGAGGAAAAGAAAGTAACCAAAACTTCATGAGTCATAGCCACAGTTTTCTTTTTTTTTTTTTTTTTTGAGATGGAGTTTCGCTCTTGTCACTCAGGCTGGAGTGCAATGGTGTGATCTCTGCTCATTGCAGCCTCCACCTCCTGGGTTCTAGTGATTCTCCTGCCTCAGCCTCCCAAGTAGCTGGGATTACAGGCGTCTGCCACCACATCCAGCTAATTTTTCTATTTTTAGTAGAGATGGGGTTTCACCATGTTGGCTAGGCTGGTCTCGAACACCTGACCTCAGGTGATCCACTCGCTTTAGCCTCCCAAAGTGCTGGGATTACAGGCATGAGCCACCAGGCCTGGACATAGCCATAGTTTTCTAGGTTGTTATAGTTTTTAAACATAAAATATGTGACAGACAGGACAGAAATGGATTATGAGATTTTTATTGTTTTGCTTTATTCTATCCATCCCTACTTGTTGTTTAAAAATAAACACAGGTCTCACAGGATGATTTTCCCAACCACATCTAATATTTATCTACCTTGAGAGATTCCAAATAACTATAAGAATAAAAAATTTTAAAAGTATATAACGTGTAAAGAAAAAGTAAAGGAGAAAAGGGAGCAATCATTTGTATCTTAAGTAGTCATCAGGACAAGTAAACTAACAAACAAAAGTCATTTCAGACCACAGGTGAACTCACAACCAAAAACTCCAAAGATTTGTGAATTACCAGAACTTGTGCATCCACCTTACCAAAACAAAACCATCCAAAGTGCATTCAAATTATTGTTGCCAAACTCTGGGTCTCCAGCTCTGATGGTTTTTACCTAGTAATATTTCCTCCTTTATGATCCTTTCCTGTATTCTTTCTAGTAATATTTAGGCTCAACCCACTCTCATTTAGCTTCTGAGATCAGGCGCATTCAGGGTGGCATGGCGGTAGACTAGGCTCAACTCTAAGAAACCTTAGCTGGCTGGGCGCGGTGGCTCACGCCTGTAATCCCAGCACTTTGGGAGGCCAAGGCAGGTGAATCATGAGGTCAAGGGATTGAGACCATCCTGGCCAACATGGTGAAACCCTGTCTCTACTAAAACTACAAAAATTAGCTGGGCGTGGTGGCGTGTGCCTGTAGTCCCAGCTACTCGGGAGACTGAGGCAGGAGAACTGCTTGAACCCAGGAGGTGGAGGTTGCAGTGAGCTGAGATGGTGCCACTGCACTTTAGCCCGGGCGACAGAGCAAAACTCCACCTCAAAAAAAAAAAAAAAAAAAAAAAAAGAAACCTTAGCTGAGATCTATATGCCCCTCCCTTTCTTTTCAAAGATAAAATTTTAAACAAATGAAAGAGAAAAGTTGAAATATTAGACAAATTGGCAAACATACTCAACAGTGAGCATGTCCTTCTACACATGCAAGGTATGGTGCTTTATCTAACATTTGAAGTCTTTATAATCCCTTGGTTCCGAAATTTGACCTATACTCATGCACATATTCAAATAATCTTATTAAGCATTACTTAAAAAAAAACAAAACACGATTCTAATTTTAGAAACTTCAAAAGAGAGGGAATTATTACTACTTTTTTTGCTGTCCTGAATCTATAAATATTCTTTTAGGAGGAAACACTTTTTTCTTATCACTTAATTTCTTCCACTGACCTGATCTTGCTTCCCCACAATAAACCCTCTCTAAAGGTCTATAAAGAGGTCCCTCTTGGCCAGGCATGGTGGTTCACGCCTGTAATCCCAATACTTTGGGCAGCCGAGGCAGATGGATCACCTGAAGTCAAGAGTTCGAGACCAGCCTGACCAACATGGAGAAATCCCCGTCTCTACTAAAAATACAAAAAAATTAGGCGGGCATGGTGGTGTATGCCTGTAATCCCAGCTACTCAGGAGGCTGAGGCAGGAGAATCACTTGAACCCAGGAGGCAGAGGTTGCAGTGAGCCAGGATCATGCCATTATACTCCAGCCTGGGTGACAAGAGCAAAACTCTCTCTCAAAAAACAAACAAACAAACAAAAACACTAGAGGACAATAAGAGAGGAGCTATAAACATAAAACCTTACACACAGAAGGAAAAAAAAAGAAACATTTAAAAATTATAATATAGGATTACAGATTAGGTTATGTGGACACCAGAAAGCTGGATGATTTAGGAGGCCTGACAGGGATTAATGATGTCAACTGCATCTGGTGACACAGGAGTGTTAGGACCCAAAGATTAATGACAATTGATTTGATAAGGGAAATAAACGGGGCCGGGCGCCGTGGCTCACGCCTGTAATCCCAGCACTTTGGGAGGCTGAAGCGGGCGGATTATGAGGTCAGGAGTTCGAGACCAGCCTGCCCAACATGATGAAACTCCATCTCTACTAAAAATACAAAAATTAGCTGGGTGTGGAGGCGCACGCCTGTAATCTCAGATACTCGGGAGGCTGAGGCAGGAGAATCACTTGAACTCGGGAGGTGGAGGTTGCAGTAAGCTGAGATTGCACCACTGCACTCCAGCCTGGGTGACAGGGCGAGAGTCTGTCTCAAAAAAAAAAAAAAAAAAAAAAAAAAAAGAAATGAAAGGGTAGGGAGATAAATAAAGGAAGACAGACAGTGGGGAATAAAATTAAAGAGGGAAAGAGAAAAGGGACAAACTAAAAGAATCAATAACTGAGACAGAGAAAAAGCCAACAGAGAGAGGGAAGAGAATAAATACAGTACTACTGACCAGTTATCAGATACAACAAATACAACAGAGAAGTAGAGTTAGGTAACAGGGAGAAATGAGAAATGCGAAAAAGAAAATAAGACCACAGATAGAGCTGGTATGAAGAAGAAAAAGAGGAAAAGAAGAAAAGAAAAGCAGGAGGTGAGAGAAGGAATAGGAAAGGGCAAGACAAGGATAAAGGCTTTTTTTTTTTGCTTGACTGCCAAACTTCCCCACTCGGATGCATAGAAAAATAGTTTCTATGTGATATATTTTACAAAAATATAAAAGTCACATTCACATATTTTCTCTTATTTTTTGATACTCATCTCTCATTTTACAATTCCTAATCTAGCTCCTCTTCCTTTATGCCATTTCTAAGACACTTTCCAGTCTAACACTATCCAACTGTGACCACCCTTTCAGTATTTGCCCTCAACAATTTCCTATCTTTTTATCAAATATAAATTCGCATTTGGTAAGTTGGAAGTGGCTTATAAGAGTTCCTAAGCGACTTTAAAGACATATAGGTTTTGCCTTTCCAGGCAGACTTCCCAAATCATCTCCTTTTATTTTGCCATGGCACGTAAGTATGACACTCTGAACACAGCCAGTGAGTCCCTTAGATGTAGGAAATAATTCTATAATTTCCCACCCTTTTCTGGAATTTAGCTGATAGTAATATCAAAGATCTCCTGCCTTCATTTTGGCCCCCTCCCCAATGGCATAAAACATCCTAATTACACATGCTCTAATTTTATAAACTAGATCTTCAGGGTCCACTAAGTATTATTATAATTAATAATACAACTTTTTAAATAGCTGACATGTGCAACGCATTAAAGAATTATACTAGGGCATGGTATATGCCAATTCTATAGCCTAAGGTTCCATGTAGTATACAGTATTCTTGAATATCTGATGTAGATATTCAAGAATTTGGACTTAGTGCTCATGTCCTTACAGAATTTATTCTGCAAGACTGATTTTGGCCTTTAATCTGTACACCTCAGAAAGCAGAGCTACATATCATGGCAACCTTTCTCTTAGATTATTATTTTAATGTACTATTATCAACTACTATAAAAGTCAACAGTGCTGTTAAAAAAAAAAAAGGCAACTGAATAGAACAGTTATCTCAGAAACCTATGATGCATCCACAGAATCCCATTTCCTAGACTCCTCTTGGGGTGGTTACATCTAACACCTTCTAAAGTAGATTGCTAACACTTCTCAAGTGAGCACAAAGTACTTTACTACATTTTATCTTGTTGCTTAAATTCATTTCCCTAAAACATGAAGCAAAAATTTTGCTTAACTTAAAACTGTATCTGCTGAATAAGAGCAAGTGAAGAGGAAATGAGAAACACTTACTGCCCTGGCAGCTTCCCCAAAGTCAATCTTTAGCCGTCCCATGGCTCTTATGATTGCAATGATGGACTGTATAGTATTGCTGTAGACAACTACTTTATATTGTTTACATTCATCCTCTGAATAGCCATCCTCATGAATGATTCTTTAAAACAAAGAAAACCACAAGTCAATAGCGTGGACCTAAAATGAAAAGATACTATGAATTTTATATGCATTAGGAGAAATCCTAGTCTAACAAAATGCCACATTCCAACTTACTTCATCTGTTTCACAATGGTGCTTTTACCAGATTCTCCAGCACCTGAAAGAAAAGAAAACCAGACTTTGAATTTCTCGGTAATCAATATAAAAGTATAATATCAACATGAATGATAACTCTAGATTGATGGAAACCACGGGTCCTAGGGAAAATTTTGGTGAGGCTTTCATGTCTACTCTCAAGAAAATGTATGGAGCTTCTCCACTACAGCATTTTACTTTCTTTACATAACTCAGCAACCAAGTATAATTTATTGAAAGTGTCCTAGGGCTTACTTGGTATCATTTGTATAAAATAGGCATATCCAAGGACAGATGGCAACATAAACTTTTGGAGGAACTCATTCACTACATAAAACATGATATAAACACTGAATATGGGCAAAAATGTAATGATTATTTTTTGGTCTATTCATTTTTATTAATTCCTCTGTTGCTGCCTGCCCATACCAGAGAAATGTTCTGAGGGCAATCCTATCAGTCAAAGAATTAAAGATGTTTTAAATAGAAGCAGAGAAGGCACTGTTCCTATCAATTTCTCACCATATACCATCTCAAGACCACCCTGCCCTCCTTAGCCAGCTGGAATCACTTTAAACCAATGACCGCAAATGTCAAGCTGGCCTTCTGACCACCTTGACAAAGCCACCTGCTAGATCTTCCCTAGTCAACTCATTTTCCTATCTTTCAAGATCCCTATATCACACCACTTCCTCTCTCAAATTTTATAAACCCCTTCCCATTTCTGACTCTCAGCTGATGATCCTGCCCTACTTTTCCATAAAAATTAAAGCAATCAGAAAAAACTACCTCATTTTCCCACAACCACATCTACCAGTCTATCTGTACCTCCATTAATATTCTCTACCTTCATCAACGGATGAAAAGTCTCTGCCAATGTTTTAAAATCAACTTCTCCCCTTGTGCACCTTCATTTTACCTACTCAAGGTCATGGCTGCTGCAATTTCCCATGATATTTCCCATGTCTCAAATACGATCAATTTTTTCTTTCCACTGGGTCATTCTCATCAGCATACACGCTTACTATACTATTTTCCATCTTTAACTCAACACACATACACACCCTTAACTTTCCTTGACCCCACACATTTTCTTCTAGCTACCACTCCATTTTCTCTATCCCTCTTTGCAGCAAAACTCCTCTAAAGTGCCATCTACACTCAGTGCCTCCAATTTTGTACATTCAATTCTGTCCTTCAGCTATGCTAATCAGGCTTTCATCCCCACTACTCTACTGAAACCACTTCTCAAGGTCTCCAAAAACTTCCATCTTGACAAACCCAGTTGGTCAATTCTTGCTGCTCATCTTAGCCTCTCAAGCAGAATTTGTCTAAGTTGAAATATTTTCTTCACTAGGCAGCCTTCTAGCCAACACACCCTTCAGGTTTGATTCCTACTTCACTCCTCAATCTCCTCTCTCCAGTTTGAATCCTTTTTTTTTTTTTTTTTTTTTTTTAGATGGAGTCCCACTCTGTAGCCCAGACTGGAGTTCAATGGTACAATCTCGGCTCACCGCAACCTCTGCCTCCCAGGTTCAAGCAATTCTCCTGTCTCAGCCTCCCGAGTAGCTGGGATTACAGGCTCCCACCTTAACATCCGGCTAATTTTTGTATTTTTAGTAGAGCTAGGGTTTCGCCATGTTAGCCAGGCTGGTCACAAACTCCTGACCTCAGGTGATCTGCCTGCCTCAGCCTCCCAAAATGCTGGGATTACAGAAGTGAGCCACCGCACCCGGCCCTAATCTCATGGCTTAAATACTATTCATAAACCAATCATAACAGGTAACATCTAGTGAGTAACCTCGGCCATGCTGTTCTAACCACTTTGTTTGTAATAACTAATCTAATCCTCACAACAACCCTATGAGGTAGACATTATCATCCCCATTTTACAGATGAGATTAATGATGCAGACAGATGTCAAGTAACTTGCCTACAATTACACAGTTAGTAAGTGGCAGAACTGAAATCTGCATTTACAGTTTGGCTCCAAAGCTGGTGTTTACTGCCTCTATACTACTGATTTCCAAATTAAGATCTCTAATCTTGGCTTCTAACCTTGGTTCCAGATTCATATATCTAAACCATCTACCTGATACTAGATTTCTAGCAGGTATTTAGATTTCACAAACCTAAAATGCTCAAAACTGAGATACTGATTCCCAAACTCACTCTCACCTCGAAACAAACCCTGCTCCTCCCTCAGTCTTCTCATTCCAGTAAATGGCACCAACATTCACCAGTTGCTCAAGTCAGAAATGTTAAGTGACATGTGACTAACATGCAGATAAGACAAGGATGCCAGTGCCAATCTGTATATTAAATATTAGTAAAGCTTAATTTTTTAAATAAAGCAATATAGTTAATGTAATAGTTTTAACAGTTTGTTCCTGAACATTGAAAACCATAGGCCTAGATCACTGCAAAAGCTTCCTAAATAGTCCAGTGCTTCAGACCTTGCCTTTTCTACAGCCAGTTTGCCAGTCAGTAGGTAGAATAAACTTCGTAAAATGTAAATTAGACCATGTCACACGATCTCCAGTTATACTCAAAATCCATGGGCATTATTGTGCAATATACTCTGGCCCCTGCCTACCTCTTCACCCTCATTTCTTGTTACTCTCCACTTTGTCCTCGCTGCTCTTGTCAGACCAGCATTCTTGCTTTTCCTCCAACATACCAAACCGGTTCTTACTGAGTTAGGTCCTGACTCTGTCTTTCCTGTCTTTGAGTTTACTGTTACCTGAAACAAGTTTTGCAAGATTTTATTTTTCACAGGAACATCTTTTTCTGACTAATCTATCTAAATAGTTCTCACCCCGTCACAGTCTCTCCCCTTATTCTGTGTTATATTTTTTCATAGCACTTACCACTTCCTCACATGACAGATTAGCTCATTTCTTATCTTCCACACTAAAATATAAGTTCCATGAAGGCTTATTCATCCCTGCATTCCCAGGGCCTTAAATTGGTCATGACATAAATTATCTACTCAAATAAATATTACTAAACAATGAATAATATTTAGTAACCATGATTCTTTACTAAATATTTCTCAACTTTACTAACCAAAAGTTAATTAAAATCCAAATATAAAAATTCTAGACAACTACATTCTTACAGAATCAAAAGGTACATTTATATATGACCTTGTCTCATTACATAATCGATAATCAGGGGTAGTATTACATAGTTAATATTCAAGTAGCACATAGTGACTTTCTTAGGATGCTATTATAAAAAGGTGAATCCTCTCATTCATATCTAAAAAAACCAATGATTCTACTCTGGGGAAGAAAATACAAATGCATACCAGTTATATTTTAAATTGTTTAAAAGACAAAATTCCCAGATTATCCATATTAACAAGAGCTACTAAATTAAGAAAAGTTGAGATTAATGAATCAATGTGTACTATTCTTTTATATATTGAAAACCACATTTCCATCATCCATATGAGATTATCTTGAATGAAATAATAAATCTATTAATCTCAGAATCAATTTCTACCTATCTCATTAATCCTAGCCTACGGATGTGCTGATTAAAAAAAAAAAAACCCTCTGTTGCCCTACCTCTCTCACATTTTTCCAAGGCTCCCTGAGAAAATGTCAGTTTGCCTTTCCCTTTGTTATCACACTAACATCTTCCGAGCTTCCAGTTCCGTCTCTTGCACCTTGGCAGGGCACACTGGCTCACGCCTGTAATCCCAGCACTCTGGGAGGCTGAGGCTGGTGGATCACTTGAGGTCAGGAGTTCGAGACCAGCCATGGTCAACATGGTGAAACTCCGTCTCTACTAAAAATACAAAAAATTAGCCAGGCGTGGTGGTGGGCACCTGTAATCCTAGCTACTTAAGAGGCTGAAGTATGAGAATCACTTGAACCCGGGAAGCAGAGGTTGCAGTGAGCCAAGATCACACCATGGCACTCCACCCTGGGTGACAGATTGAGACTCTATATTAAGAAAAAAAAAAAAAGGCACTTCTGACTGCCCACAGAACTAAATACGGATTTGTTTCAGTGGGTGTTCCGGGGGGCATTTTATACAAATAAAGAGTGAATCACTTTATACCAAAAGTCTTTGACCCACTCGGCTTCTAGATCACCATGAACGGTGCCACCATCTTATCCATCTTCCAAGTATGAAATATAAGAGTCATCTGGAACCCACTCACTTCTCTTCTCTCCTTACCAAGCTGTAACAAAATCTTCTTTCTTCTTACGCATTTCTCAAATTAATCCTTTCTATCCTTCACATGTCTGAGCCTGATGTTGCACCTATTATACGTTACTGCTGTGATTTTCTGAAGCTTCCAGTTCAAAACCCCTCTCCCTGTTCTCATCATTTCCAAGTGGCTCTTTTTTTTTTTTTTTTTTTTAATAGTCTTGTTCCATTGCCCAGACTGGAGTGCAATGGTGCAATCTCAGTTCACTGCAACCTCTGTCTCCCAGGTTCAAGCAATTCTCCTGCCTTGGCCTCCCAAGTAGCTGGGATTACAGGCGCCTGCCCCAAGTGGCACTATTTTTAAAACCATCAGTTTATCTAACAATTCTCCAAATTATTGAAACACTTTCTATACCCCTTTCTTATTAGGTCTGGGTTCTTCACGTTGTGCTCCATTGTTCTAGCAGTAAGCTCCCTTTCCATAACATCTCATTGCTGCATTTTCCCCAAGCTGCTTCCTATGTTCCATCTCCCTACCCCACAACACCCGTGGTGTTTGGAACTTCCTAATTTTATCTGCATCTTTTATCTCTTTTTTCAAAAATTTATCACAAGTTTAAGGGGAGATTCAGTTGCCCATCTTCAATACACCAGGGAAGTGATAGTTGAAATACAAAGAATGGGAAGATGTAAAGGATATTGCAAAGACAGCATCTATGGCTTGGAAAGGGAGGAACTGAAGAGGACTCTGTGTGCAGAAGGGATGGAACTGCGCAGGGGGTTAGGATATACAGGGGAGAAAAAGTTGGAAAGGTCCCAGAAACAGGAGGGAATAGGATCCATTTAACATAGAAG